GTGAAGTATTTTTACTTCTTCTCCCAGTCCCCAAAAGGACCTAAAGTTGAATCTAAGCTTCTAGCTTGATCAGTATAAAAGAAATGCAGGGCAAAGGAAAAAATGTTAAATGTCACAGGGGAGTCAATTAGTTAAATCCATAAAATAGGAAACTATATTCAAATGATTTCTTTTACTCAGTAAACATATGATCTGGAGGAAGAAGATGGGGATAGGAAAATGTTATAAATTTTTAAAAGAAATAAGAGACATATCAACCAGATGCAATATGTGAATCTTGTTTGGGCCCCAATTCAAGCAAACCAGCCACAAAACCCACATTTCAGGGACAATTGGACAATATTCAATACAGAACGGGTTTTAGGCACTATAAAGAAATTATTGTTAATTTTGTTACCTGTGTTATCTGTAGAGACACATTCCAAAGTACTTATGGGTGAAATGTATGAGATTTTGGATTTGCTTTAAAATAATACAGCTTTAAAAAAAATATAGGGGTCTAGGGAGCAGATCAAAGAATAATGGCCACTTATTGACATGGTTGTAGCTGGAACATGTGCATAGATGATACTGTTTTCTGTTTGGGGGTGTGATTGAAAATGACCATAAAATGTTCTTGTTTTACAAAAGTTGGGTCTTTTACATATCTCACCTCCTACCTTTTCAACAACTCCGTAAGGCCCAGGTATGACACCCCCGTGTTTGCACAAGAGGAAATCAAGGCTCAGAGAGCTAAAATGGCCTCTGCCCAGAGTCACACCATTGACAAATGGAAGCCAAGATTCAAACAGAAGTTTTTCAAGGCCAACGTCTGTCCACCTGTGCAGTAAAAGCATAGAAACAATAGAACCCTGAGCCAAATGCCAGTCCCTCACCTCCAAAAGAAGCCCTCCCAGTTTGCCCCTGAGGGACTCAGAAGCAAGAAAAGGTAAAATAAGCAGCCCATGCCTTTGTGGGATGGAAGGTTCTGGGACAGTTAATCCAATCTCACTCTGCACAGTTGGTACCAACCATCCCCTCTGCCTGAGTCAGCCCTGCAGGGACTGCTGTCCCCAAGTATCTGAGCCCAGGTCACACCTCCAACCTCCAACTGGACAAGAACCAAGCCTTCCAGCTGCCATCTGGCTTCCATTCAAAATCCACGTCAATTCTCTTTTAAGTTTGTCCACACGGATACAAATGTTGACACTGGTTTGTGTCTCATTTTACCCAGAATGCAGAAGGAGCCTCCCCTCCATCCATCCGTACCCCCCCCCAGTCCTGGGTCTGCCACCTTCTGGCCATAGTGCCCATTAGCAAGCACTTTGTAAAGTGAGTTGATGCAGGTTTCCCCTGCTATTACACAATTAGGTCTGCCTTCCCTCCGTTCCCTTTGCTAAGCGAGAACATCTAGCTGGAAGCTCCATGTGGAGCAGAATTCCAAATAGTAGGATAAGGAGGGCTCTGTCCTGTGGTGCCAATGTCCACACTGCAAGCCCCAGCTGATCTCAGATATTTAATTCAGTATCCTTAGAGAAGAGTCATACTGCTTTCTTCCTAGGTGATGTTACCCGCACATTGGAAGCCTGAGTCTCAAGAGAGGTAGGGCAGTGCGCTCCAGCAGTTATTGCTTCCTCCCTTCCCCAGGTGGTGTGTGAGCCTATGTTTACTACTGAGTAGGATACCAAAGAGTCTTGTAAAATCAAAGTAGGCAAGTGACGAATACAAGACACACATGGACTCGCTACCCAGTTTAAAGTATAAAATCCCCCATTTTAGTCCTCTGTTCTCCCTCTGCCCTCTGTTGTGACCTGTTGACTTTGAGCCCAAAGTCTCCCTGGGTTCTTTCAATTAGAAAGACAATCTGGCCCCACCTCCTCTTTAGTTGGGCAAGAGAACGTTCTCGGCTGCATCTTTGACCTGTTTCATTCCTCAAGGCTTCTCATCTTTTTTCCATATTCCAAGCACTTGTTGAAATCTCTCATTTATCAGTGACCCACATTTATTTAAAGTTGAAATACCCTTAATACACCAATGGCTCTCCCAAGCTCCCTTCACTGTTTTATTCTTCTCCACAGCACTGGCCATTTTCTAAATGATTTATTTGGCTTGTTTCTATCTTCTCTTGGTTGAATGTTAAGTCCAGGATGGCAGATATTTTTGTCAGATTTCTTTCACAGCTCCATCACCCAGTCATATTAGGAGACTTGACATACAATATTAAGTCAATGAGTATTTATTAAATAAAATCATCTTTATTGTTCTTGTTGTTGAGTGTCTTTTATTTTGACACTTATTTCAGTGGAGTGTCATAAAAGATGGGAAGCAAATAAGAGCACTAAGCAAATGTCTCAAAGTCTGTGGTTCTGAAAGTGTGGGGTATTACAAATTCTGTGAAGCTTATGATGAAACTTAAAAATAGACTCTTATACCCGAACTTTTACGATTTATGAACACTATAAACTTCATCTTACGAACCTGTCCTTCCAAAACATTCTAAGTGGGCCTAAGTCCAGAGAAAGGTTACTGGGGAAAATAGGGGGGCCCAACAGCTCCTGCTTCTGCACCCTGAGTCTTCACAGCTCTGCAGAGTCCCAAGTCTGCAGCTGGACCAGACTCTGCATTGTAATACCTGGGGTAAACCTCCAGACTCAGCAAAGGACTGCGTGAGACTTCACAGATCCCAGCTGATCACACGAGCATCTGCTGACCCCTTGTGGTCACTGCGACCAGGACCAGCAGCCAGGACTGTGGTTGCACCTCTGAGACATGCTGACTCTGACCTCATTTCTCAAAGCACTTCTGCAACATTTACCTTGTGGGGGCCTCCCCACAATCCCAGGTGGTGAGCAGAGCCGGGATTCCTACTCCCATTCCACTCTTTTACAAGTGAGCAGCAGTGCCTGGGATCCAGCCCCAGATCCAGTGCTAGTTCTTTTCTGACCTTGCCAGTCAATCCCCTACTCTCTGCTTCAGCTACTCGTTGATAAAATAGGAGAGGAGACCATACAAGGCAGCTCTAAGAAGATTTCAGACTCACCAAACTTTCAGCGTAGAGAGTTGCCTTGCCGGAGGTCAGAGCAAATCAGGGCAAAGACTCTCCCAGCTGGCAGGTCACCCCACTTCCCCACGATGACTAGGAAAAGTGAGAGTTGTCACAGCAAACCAAAAAACCAGTTCTTCTACCGCTATGTTTTGTTTGTGTGCTGCAAACCACATGAACAGATGGAGAGGTGAGTGGATAGATGGATAAGTGGACAAATGGGTTGGGTATCTTAAAACTTTGCGATCACTTTTAGCAGCAACTGGACCAGCTCCCTGCCGTTCCCCATCCCTCCCTGCTCCCTGTAACTCCAGCTGCCTGAGCCCCTTGCAGATCATGTCTGCTTATCGGGCTTCCCAAGGCACTGCCTAACAGCCTGGAGCTGGGACTCACCAAGAGAGGAAAGAGTCCCCCGTCCCTGCCATGTCATGGACCATATGGCCAACTCTGGCAGCAGTTGATCAAGTAAGAGGGTTTTCACTTTTTATTTTTTTTTTTGGATAATGTGGTCATATTGCTCATATAAAATTTGCATGCTTAAAATCATTAATCTCTTGTACTCCACCAAGAAAACAGACCTGAATCTAGAAACAGACTGTTGTGGCCCCCACTGAAAAGTAGCAGGCCCCATTCTCAAAGGGAAACTTCCTGAATGTATGGCTCCCACCCCAGGCACCTTGGGGCTCACTGAGCCAGCTTAGAAGAAAGCCTGCCAAGTGGCACCAGACAGCAGTGCTGGCGGGGCGTGACGAGGTCAAGGAGGACTGAGGCCTTCCTGGGGAGGACTTCTGAAAGCCAGCAGAAAGAGGAGGCCCGCACCAGGAGCTGCGGTGCTCGAATGACCACTCCATGGCAGCCAGGAAACCTGCTTCCAGTTCTCTGCCACTAACTTGCAGTATGACCTTGGGCAACCAGGTCACTCTCCGGGCCTCAGTCTACTTACTTTCATCTGTAAAATGAGGGGCTTTGTTAAACTCAAAAAATATGTATCAGATGCTTACTCTGTGCACTGTGCTTACTCTGTGCACTGTGCAGCTGTGAGTAATATAATGAGTAAGACACTCAGTTATTCAAAAAACATTGAGTGACTACTCCGTTTACTAGGCATTGTGGCTACAGAGATGAATCTGTCAGCATCTGCCAAGACATTCACAACCTGGTCAGAAGGGTGTGAACAAATAAGAAATGACTAAGCACACTCAGTGCAGAAAGGGGCATGGGTACAAGGAGTGGCCTTTTCTATTGGAGCCAGGAAGGGGCAGCAGCACAGATGGCTGAACTGTACCTTGGAAGATCCTTGGTCCCTGCTAGATGGTACAGTCTAATCAGGGGTTTGGGACAAATACCCAAACACACCAGGCAGAGCACAGATGAGCCGAGTTCAGAGTGGAGAGGAAACCCATGTGGCTCAGGCAGGGCCAGGAAAGGGGTGGGCGGGAGGCAGAGGAGGTAAGAAAAGCTTTAGGGGAAACAGCACTGAGATTAGCCTTGAAGGATGAAGAGTTCTTGTGAGAGTCCTGGGAGGGGCCCGCACAAGTGAAGGCACACGGAGGCTGGTGGGGTGTAGTGGAGAGGGCGGGCGGGCAGGGGAGTGGGGACTGGCAGGGCTGGAAGCCAACTGGAGCTGTTATAAAGAAGAGCCATTAGAAATGACAGGCCCGGCCTGTCACACTGCCATCCTCATGCCAGGTCTGGGAGGCAGGGCCCCTCACTCCTGCCATTCTTTCAGAGAAGTAAACAGCTTCCATAGTTACAAGGTCACCTGGTTGATGAGTTGATGGGTGGCAGAAAGAGCACTTAACCCAGGTCTGTCTACCTCACCCCTGGAATGCCAGGCAGTGGCGCTCCTGAGCCCTTTCCACCTAAGGCACCACTATCCTAAACACGTGGCTGGGAAGAGGGCTTGATTCGGCTTCCTCCCTGGGATAACTAGGGAACTATTGGGATTTCTGTCACCCAGAGGGGACAGGATAAGGCAAGGAACATTAAAATTGCGAAGGGTTTGTATGCTCCATAGTCCGCTGGTCGCCATTTATTATTGTTCTACCACCACGTAGGCCAGCTAGTGTCAGGTTTGAGTTCTCCTGTCAGTCCAGCGCCATCTTGGCCTGGGGCAGATCATTCTGCCTGGACTAGCTCGACCACTTTTTCTTCTTAGGGTGACGTTGGTGCTGTAAAATGTAAAGCCGGATGCTATCCAGGTACGGCTGCATGCCTATGGATTCCCGTCTCCAGAGCCCCAGCTTTCTGAGCTGGTCTATGATGAACTTTTTTTTCAGATGGTCATGCAAGTGGCACATCTTTTTCTTGCTCTTGTCTGTCGCTCTTATCTTACAAAAACAGAGGCGAGGTTAACAGAAAGTGTTACTTCAGAGTAAAAGAGGCATCTATGCTGGAAAATGTACCAGTTGAACTCCATAAACAATTTGATTCACAGGGTGTCTCAGTTTCCCTGTTTGTAAAGTGTGGACATTGAGTTAGATAATTCCTATGGTTGGTTCCTTTTGACAGTCTGTAGCCTAGGAGCCTAATTTTGCCCCTAACATCTCTCTTTCCATATGGGTCAGGAAGATGGGGCGCTATCTCAAAAATCAGCACACGTGAGCCAAGGAGAGCTCCACCAAGACCGTGATTATGTGACACAGAGTTAAAAGTGGATCCTGGGTGGATCTTGGGAACAAGGATGAAGAGGGAGGAGGTGATGGAGAATATTGTCACTAAAACACACAGGTCAAATCAGTTCTTTTTAAATGTGGCTAAGCATCAGAAACATTTCAGTGGCTTGATAAAAATACAGACCCCAGAGATTCTGGCTTAGTAGCACTTGTGTGGTGGAAAGGAATCTACGTTTTCATCACAGACCTGAATGATTCCAACACAGCCACCAAGGAGTGGCGGCTGTGACTTGCCATGTCCTGGGCCATCCCAGGAGAGCAGGCTTTTTTGGCTCCCGAAGCTAGTGATTGCACCTCGAGCCTGAACTGATCGCAGATCAGGGATTCTCAATCTTGGCACTACTGACATTTGAGGCCCAGTAACTCCGTGGTGGGGGGCAGTCCTGTGCCTCGTAGGATGTGTAGCTGCTTCCCTGGCCTATATTACCAGATGCCAGTAGCATCACCCCACACTCACATGGGACACCAAACTGTCTCCAGGTATTGCTAATATCCCTCATGGGCAAAACTGTCCCCAGTTAAGAACCACAGCCATAAACAAATAAAGGAATGTCAGTTAATCCATTGTTCTTAGAGCCTGCTCAGAGGGTTGCCAAGATGTTAGATTTTAGCTATTCTCATTGAGATCCTTAGAAATCAGTGGCCAGTCAAAGCTGCCTCTTTCCTAAATGAGCACTTTTGGGGGACACAAAGCACTGCCAGGCTGCCATTCAAGCCTCACATGCACAAGTCCCTACAAACTGGGCCCTCAGCAAGTCGTTCAGTCTACAAACAATGGGGAGATCGTTTCTGTCCTTGAGGGAGAACATTCTGTGCTATAGACCCATCCCATCCATCTAGGTCAGTCAAACCCAAATTTACAAGTCTGCAATAATGCACATGTCATCTTAGTGAAGTTACTCCACCTCTCTGAGTCTGTTTCCTGAACTATTAAATGGGATAACAATATGAACACTGAGTACATAAAACACAGGGCTTAATACCTTCTGGAAGGCTGAGGGATGGCATAACCGTCTGGTACATCTAAAGCCAACTCAAGAGTTTCCAGTTATAGTATCTCAGAGATCGGCCCATCCTGGGCCGGTCATAATACCCCTCATTATTTGGCCACAGGGAAAGGCCCATGACCCAACTTGGGTCAACTGGAGTCCTGCTCCAGGATTTGTATCACGTGGGCAACAGTGGAAGCATGCCACTTCCTTTCTGGGCTACAGTCCAGGGCCCCCTGTGGCCATGCTCCCCAGGGACAGTCAGCCTGATGATGATGATGCCAGCATGCACAAAGGAGCGGAAATGGAATGATGAGGAAGAGCAGAAGACTGGATCCCATGGCTTCTCTCATCCCAAATGTTGGGGACCTGTCCTGACTCTGTATAGACTCACCGCTCTCAATTTTGCTTAAAGTAGTTAAAGTTCAGTTAATGTCACCAGCAACTGAGAGGGTCCTGATAGATCCTATTTTACAAATGAGACGGTCCTGTAGGAAATTATAGGACATCTACACATCCTACGAGGCACAGGACTGCCCCCCACCACAGTTACCTGGCCTCAAATGTCAGTAGTGCCAAGGTTACACAAAGCTGGCTTGCCCACCTCCAAGTCCGTCCTATTGCCATACACCACACTAGTGGAAATTTTACAGAGGGAGAAACACCCAGGCCCCACCTCTTCTTTTTGGCCCCTGTGTCCCTTAAAAGGATCTGGCACTTGGGCCTCCCCGGTGGCGCAGCGGTTGAGCGCTGGGTTGCGAAGCTGCCTGCGGACTTTGCGGCGCCGGTTCGATCCCCGGCTGCTCCCCGGCCACTGGAGGAGGGTCCCACATGGCGCGCAGACCTCTCCTGCCGCCCGCTGCTCCCCTCAGCGGTGTCCTTCGGTCCTTCTGCCTGCTCTGCTCCCCGCTCTGGCTCTGGTGAATTCTCTCACCCTCCCGCGCTTCTGACTGTACCCAGTGCATGTACAAACAAACAAATAAATACATAAATAAATAAATAAAAATACATGCCTCTCTTTAAAAAAAAAAAAATGCATTTAAAAAAGGATCTGGCACTACCTTTTAAGGCTCCTCCACTCTTCCATGCCAGAATCCCATGTGCCCAACCAGATTTGGCTTTGGAATATGGAGGGAAGTTGAACAACATCAAGAGGGGGCCTCAGCCCAGCTCTAAGCTGCCTGCTCTGCTGGAAGAAAAGGTTCTCAGTCTCTTCCTAGAAGCCCCTCAAGAGACATTCGATGAATTCACCCATCAGGGTCTATGGGGTGACAGCACAGAAGTTTCCCACCCCTTCTTCTGAAGGCTTCTGGATAAGGTCAAAACCCCCATGTCCATAAGCAAAAAATGGGAGAAGAGCCTCAGTTCTCCTCTGGAAAATGGGGAGAAATCCCTGAAGGGGGAAAAAAAGTGTTGATGCCAATTCAGACTCTAGTACCCAAGACTTTTTTTTTTTTTTAAGGGTGATGGGAGGAATCCATTCCCTGAACAGGAAGGCAATGGGTTTTGAGGGAAAAAATGCCACCACAAGAGCTAAGAGACATGGAATCATTCTCTCTGGCTCCCTTTGTCCAGGAACAGCTGTGGACAAATTAATAACCCCAGTCTCCTCTGGAAAACGGGACATGAGTTAGATAGAGGACCTAGTGGTTCTTGATCACCTCTGAGATCTGTGATCTCCCCTCCAGGGCATGGGAGAGTAACATGAACAGGGATCAAGACACAGACACCCACTAATGCAAAAATGTGTACAGCTTTACCTGCATCTCATAGATTCGCTGTACATTGACGTTGTCGTGAATAATCACTCGAGATAACTGGCTCCTGGGTAAAAACCTCTTCACTGCTACTTCTCTGGAATTCATTAAGCTGCAGGAGAGAGGGGAAAGTGGTACCAGTTGAGGCAGCCCAGGCCAGGCTCTAATTTAATGGGGTTCTAGGAAAGTGGACGAACTTCCCCAGGTTTCTCAGGAGAGGCAGAGCTCTCTCACAACCGTCACAGGAGCACGGGAGAAGTTTCTTCTCAGGGAAAATGTACACTAAGGGAGGTGTTTCTTGGATGCTGAGAGGCAAAGTCATCCTGAGAGGTATAAAAAAGCCCCAGAGCAGTTCACAAGTGTCACTGGGGACTCAACTGTGCACAGCTGTGGTCACTTAAGGAGAAAATGTGGGTGAGGTGGGGTTTGTGGGGACAGGAGCCAGGCTGAGAGAATTAGGGGAACACAGACGATTTGGAGACGGGTGTGAGGCTACCCGGGCCTCGCCTGGTTCCAAGGAACCTCAGGGCTCCCAAAGGCCCCCGAGGACCCGGGCGATGCCAAGCCTAGGAGACTAAAGTGCGGAGGGGGGCGATTCGGGGTGTGTGTGTGCTGGGGGTGGGAATTCCAGCTACTCCCAGAGTCTGGGCTGAGGATACGAGGGCCCCCGGGCTCCCGCGGGCCGGAAGGGCTGGACTGAGAAGAAGCCAGGGCCGGGTCTGGAAGTCCGGACTCTCCAGGGGTCTACAAAGAACCTGGGTCCAGGGCCCGCCTGGGGGAGCGGGGCGCTGAGGAAGTTCGGGCTCCCCCAGGGCACGAGCGGGGGCCCCCGGGCCGCACCTGAACAGCACCGGCGGGTACATGGCCCGCGGCCGCAGGAAGAGGATCTTGGGCTGAACCCCTAACTCGATATCACGGCGACTCGCGACGCTGTCGCGCGACAAGAAGCCCGAGGGCGGGTTGGTGGCGGCACTGGAGGTCGCCTGGGCGGCAAACGCCACAGGGAAGCCCCGCTTCCCGGAGGCCCAGGGCTCGCGCGGCGGGGGCCCCGCGTCCTCCGCGGCCGCGAGCAGCTCCGGGCCGCGCGCCAGGACGGAAGCCACGCCCGGGGGCGCGCGGCGCGCGGGGGCCGACTCGGGCGCCGACTCGGGCGCGACTAGCGGCCGGAAGACGCGCGGGGGCGGGGCCCGGAGGCGGAGCCCGGAAGGCCGCGGCCGCCGCAGGATTGTCCCTCGGCGGTCGCCATGGTGCGGCGCGCGCGTTGCCTTGGAGACGGGCCGGGCCGGCGGGCTCGGGCGGCGGAGCGCGCAGCCTACCCGACCTTCCCGCCCGGAATGCTGCGCCCGGGCGCGATCGCAGGGCAGGTAACTGGAGGCGTCCGTGGGGGGCCGCTCCGGGGCGCGTAGTCGAAACCCGGTTTTGTTTTTTGTTTTTTTTTCCCCCGAAGACCCGGGTGGCCGAATGGTCCCAGCCATGTGGGACCAGAGCTGGGAAACCAGAGCTCCGCCCTGGCAGGGAAGGAGGCTCCCGGGTCGTGACCGGTCTTTTCTCCGTGAGACCCTCGTCCGAGGCTTCGGTCGTGGTTGCTTCTTGAACGAACCTGCCCGCCCGCCCGCGCGAGACGGGTGAGACCTTGGGATCATGACACCCAGCTGGCGAAGAATCCCGGTCGTCTAACGCCAGCTCCCCCAGAAAACCTACCTGGCTCACCCCCTGGAGGTGGCGTCTCGCTCCCGTCAATCCGTGGACTTTGCTCCACGTTTGTAAATCGGTATTAGCGAGCACCCCGCAGTGTTTGCCGGCTTCCCCTACCAGCTGTCTGGCCTTGCTTGCTTGGTGACCCTAGACGGGTCCTTTCCCCTCTCTGCTTCATTTCCCCGTGTATGAAATGGAGATAATAGCTCCAGACCGCGCCCTATTTGTAGCTCTGAAAATCGGACCAGATGTGAGAGAAGCCAAGGGCTTTATAGGCTATAAAATAGGGAAATTGGGGTAGCTATTTTTTTCTCCTTCCCCTTCCTACTAAAAGTTCTTCAGATTTTTGTATTATTTTTTCAGGCAATCTCCTTGACTCCCTACCTCCTCACCTAGCAGAGCAAAATCCCTTTACCATTTATTCCCATGATGCCCCGCCTTTTAACTTCCCTAACTGCAGCGAGAGTGCTTATCATTTATAGAGGACTTTCTTTGCCAGGCCCTGTGTTAAATACTTTACCTGGGTTACTCTTTAAATCCTCAGAAGATGCTTAGAAGGTGGGCACTGTTATCCCTGTTTCCCAACTCTGCTGCGCCTGCAACTGCCTGTGTGGTATCTGACTCTCCCACTAGACTTTAAGCTCTGTGAGAGGGGCCATGGTGTCTTGAGTATTTCTTGACTAGCGTGAAAATAACTCTCATCACTACCCTCATCTTCAAGAGGAGTATCTCCTCTACAAAGTGTGTGTTGCTGTGAGAAGCATCAGTCCCCTTTATTGCTGTTTCCCACTGGGCACTGGTGTCCAGGCACCTCCCTCAACTTCTGTGGGTTTTCTGATGAGGCTCCAGAGTCTCCCTCGGCATTTAGACTTACAGCTTGGGGGAAAGGGGCGCTTTTTCTTTGCCCTCACATGACTTTTTAGAGCAAGCCAGACCCACACGCCCTACGTGTGGTGACCCTCATGTTTTTGACGCTGGGGCATTGAAAGATTGGATTTTCCTATGCAAATCCTTCCTCTCCAGCAGCCTATATACCACCTTCACCTCCACCCAGACCCTCCCTAAAATTCTAGAGAAACATCCTTCCCAGAAAACCTATCAGAAGACACAGTAGTGGTGGTTGGAGTTATCTTTTCATTCAACAAATATTTAAGCACCTACTTGTAGGCATGTGGAGCTTGGCACTGCTGATACAGATCAAGGCAAAAACCACATCTTCCATGTGTTAGGAAGGAGAGCACATAGGGATTAGAAAAACTGGAGCAGGGACTTGATCAAATGGGGGGAAGGGTATTGTCGTGTCCCTCAACACCCAAGGGTGGAGCTTACCAAGGGAGGAGGTTTCCCCTCAGAAAGACAAAGCTTACCTGACCTCTGCTGAATGGAAAGGGGGTGCTAAGCTGAAAAAACAGCAAAAGCAAAGGCTTCAAATGTCTTTAAGGACCAAATGTCTATAAGGAACTGCAAGTGGCTCTGTCTAGTTGAAGCGCTTCAGAATGTAGGGAAGGCTAATAGTAGACTGGAGCACTGGACAGGAGCCAGGCCACTAATGGCCTTGACATTCAAGATAAGGTGCTCCCTCTCATCTTGGCAGTGAGTAGCCAGTGAAATATGTTAAACAGAGGAAGATAACTTCAACCTCATTTCTCTGTGCCTGATGCAGACTGCCAGTTGGCCTGGAGAGGTTTATCTAAATCCAGATGCTTCTATTTCAGTGAAATTCACGAAGATGTGTTCAAGCTTGAGAGACTGAGGGTGCTGAGATTTTTTAGGAGAAGACAGGGGTCTGCCCCTCTCTGGACTACAGGCACTGCCCTTCTGCACGCACATCATGCTATTGTGGCTCTCCCATCTGAGGTTCCTCTACCTCTGTTTTTATGTCTGGGGTCTGCCATTATGCCAGCTGGTTTCCAGGAAGCTTTCAACCACCCCCTTCCCCATCAAGGTGCAGAAGCAAGGTTAGTGGTGTCACACTCTGTAATGGCCTGTCAGTTCCACATGGGCACATTCTGTGTCTTCAAAGAGATAGTTCTTGGAGAGCAGACACTGGGACCCTCCTCTCACTTAGATCCCCAGAGTCTCCCAGCTCAGTGGGTTCAGATTCTACTTCACTGGTTCTAGTCTCATGATTTGAGCATAAAGTCAAAAGACTGAGGAGAGAAACACTGCAAGTTGTTCCCACTTTAGAGGGACTGGAGGAAGGAGAAGATTTTGAAAAGCCAGGAGAACAGGGCTGAGTGAACCTAGATGGAGAGTCAGGCCAGGGCATGCCTGAGGGACACAACTCAGCCTGTCCAACAAGAAATATGGGGCCCCCTCAAAGGGGCCTTGAGTGCCAGGCTTGAGGGCTTGTCCTTTGTACTATAGGTCAGCACATGTTAGACTTCCTGAGAAGTATGCTGAAAATGCAGATTTGTGCACCTTACCCTGAGTCTGAGTCAGTGGGTTAGGGGATCTGCATTTTTAATTAGTAAGTTCCCTGGGTGATTCCACTGTGATGGTCAAAGGACCACTGGGAAATCCCAGTATAGACCTATCCATCCATTTCTCTGAAATCCCTGGGAGTTGGCCTTCTGGACCAACTGGGCTCCTCCCACTAAACATCCTCTTCTTCCTTGCAGTTTTTCTGTGGAACAACCTAGCAGAAAGATGCCGTCTTTATGCCTCACTGGCTGCTGACCCACTGGCCTGATGACATCAGCCACGTGTGCCTTCCCGGTCCAGTTCCGGCAGCCTTCGGTCAGTGGCCTCTCCAAGATCACCGGCAGCCTGTATATCAGCAATGGGATAGCTGCCAACAACAAGCTTATGCTCTCCAGTAACCACATCACCACTGTTATTAACGTCTCGGTGGAGGTGGTGAACACCTTATATGAGGACATCCAGTATTTGCAGGTGCCTGTGGCTGACACGCCCATCTCGCGTCTCTGTGACTTCTTTGACCCCATCGCCGACCACATCCACAGTGTGGAGATGAAGCAGGGCCGCACACTGCTGCACTGTGCTGCTGGGGTGAGCCGCTCGGCCGCCCTCTGCCTCGCCTACCTCATGAAGTACCATGCCATGTCCCTGCTAGATGCCCATACGTGGACCAAGTCATGCCGGCCCATCATCCGGCCCAACAGTGGCTTTTGGGAGCAGCTCATCCACTATGAATTCCAGCTGTTTGGCAAGAACACCGTGCACATGGTCAACTCCCCTGTGGGAGTGATCCCCGACATCTATGAGAAGGAGGTCCGTTTGATGATTCCACTGTGAACCCTCCTGCCACCTCCTGCACTGGAGTCAGAGGGACAGATCTGCCCTTGACCCCACACCTAGATCTTAACTTGAGCATTCTGCTTTTGTTGATGCAGAAAAAACAGATTATGCCTTTCATAAGGGGAAGAAAGAAGGAAGAGCACTACAGGGTTTAACCTTGTAATCCATATTTTTGAAGATTAAACTTTCTAAATGTAAGATGGTGAAGACAGCAGCTTCCTGTGTTATCAATGACAGGTTATGACTGCTGGCTAGAGAGGAGGGTGAGGCAGGTGGTTCCCCGGGTCAAGAGGCCCAGCACCCCTGCCGCCCTCCCCTCGGCCGGCTAACCCAGGAACAAGTCTGCCTCAATCTCTACTTATTCTTTCCGAACCGAGAGCCGGAGCCTTAAGTGTCATGGCATCTCCTGTGGTCCTCACAGTAAGTGCCAGCCTACTGGATAAGTAGCCTTCAAGCGGTGCTCCAGGAGCTGGGGTGGCGCAGGCCAGCCTGGTTCCATGTTCAACCACAGGGTCCCAACTCTGGTTTTCTACAATGAATTTAGGCATAAAATAGTTTTCAAAGAAAACATTCCACTGTATAAAATTTTTTTAAAACTCCTTTTTCGAGTGTTGTTCTACATGGTAAGGCCTCAAAGCACCACTGCCATTTCCCTAGCAGTCTGATGAAGGGTGGCTTCTGTCGTCTCTTCCGGGCACATATGGGGAACAGGCCTACAAGCAGGCCTGGAGGTCGTCTCACAGACCTTGACTTGGAAGATTGGAGCTGTGGACTGGAGCCTAGGCTTGTCACCCTGTCTCTGATCCCTCCTGGAGCCTCAGTTCCCTCATCTGTCCAAGCAACGAGGCCCTTTTCTCACAGCATTGTCGTGAAGATCAGCAATGCCTTAGCAGGGTGCCTGGCATGGGGCAGGCAGCTCATGAATGAGGCGTAGCCCCGTTGGTCCAGGTCAGCATAGTCTTCCTCATAACAGTATTTTCCCCACCCATGCACAGCCTTTTGTTCTTTATAAAGTACTCTTCCAAAAAGGCATCCGTGGGAAAAAAATGGTTTCAGTTCTTGCAGACCCTACCTCAGAGGGGGGCCTAAACTTCAAAGCCTTTCTGGAATCCCCATTGTATTTTTGCAGTGTTTCCCCAGGAGCACAATTATAGCTTCCCACAAAAGGCCTCCTTTAGATAGCTGACCGTTAGAGCCAGCCCGCCCGCCCCGGCTGACTCACCACTGGGGAGGGGCATGTGCCAAAGGGACAAGTACGTGGGTGCCACTAGCAGGCCCTGAATCCAGGATTGTTCACACCCCCCAGGTGTCTCAGGATCTGGTTGAAGACCCGTTCTATTCCAGATAATACATGAAACACACAAAAGCACAACTGTTTGTGGGTCCAGAGTCCAGTGGAGGCCAAATGCCCTCTCTCCAAATAAAAACCTCACCCCCTCTTCCACAAAAGGATACACTTTTAGGGAAGAGGGAGAAGGAAAATCACTGTTGTGACTGAGTCTCTCATATTACAGATGAATGTACAGATCCACAAACACCAGGGCTGGTGTGGCAGAGCCACCACAAAACAGCCTTCCTGGAACAAACCCACACGGAAGCTTTCTTTTAAAGCAGTTTTAAGGAAAAAGTTATTTGAGTATATTTTGTTTCCATTTAAAAAATTGTTTAATTGACATACCATTAAGTTCCTCATAGGTATAATTCTATGTGTTGTAACACATTTGTAGAACTACTTCCATAGTTAAGACTCAGCAGTTCCATCACCCCAACAATTCCCATATATATCCCTGTATAGTCAAACTATCACTTCTACCATCTGGTAGAAAATGTTCTCCATCTTTATGGATTTGCCTTTTCCAGAATGTCTTAGACACGGATTCATAGAGGATATAACCTCTATGCTTTTGAGATTCATACATGTTGCTTTTCGTGGCTAAGTAGTTTTCCATTAGATGAATGCCCTACAGTTTGTTTTATATTAACCTGTTGATGGATATTTTGGGTTGTTTCCAGTTTTTTGGTGATTTTGAATAAAACTGCTATGAATATTTGTGTGTAGGTTTTTGTGTGAACATAAATTTCCATTCATCTAGAGTTTATATAGAGAAGTAGAATTGCAGATGGTAAAGATAAACTTAACTTTGTAAACACTACCATGCTTCCAGAGTGGCTATTCCACTATAAGAGATCCAATTTCTCTGGATTTGGCAGTATTTTTAGTAATGCCAATGCTATTCTACTTGGTGTGTGGTATTACCTCACTGTGGTTTTAATTTGCATTTCCCTAATCATCAGGATGTGGAGTATCTTCTTGTATATTTAACTGCTTTTTTACCTACCCTCTTTGGTGAAGTCCATTGAATTCTTTTGCCCATTTTAAAATCAATGTTTTACTTACTGTTGAATTCAGCTTACTGTTGAATGTTGAAAATTCTCCATATATTCTGGATACAAGTCTACTGTTAGATTTTTTTCCAGTCTAGCTTGTCTTTCTAGTCTCTTACAATTGTCTTTTGCAAAGCAAATTTAAAAAATTTTGATGAAGTGCTACTTCCCAGTTTTTCCTTTTATGCATTGGTTTGGTGCCATGTGTTAAGAACACTTTGCCTAACCCCAGGTCACAAAGATTTTCCTGGATATTTTTAAGTTTAAGATTTTCACTTATTTCTCTGATCCTTTTAGATAGGGTGTGAGGTTTAAGTTGAAGTTCTTGTTTTTTTCATGTGGTTGTTTAATGATTTCAGCTCAATTTGTTGAAAACTATTCTCCACTGAACTGACTTTGCACCTTTGTGAAGGTCTATTTTTCTACTCTATTCTGTTTGATATATGTATCTTTCTGTTCACTAATACAACACTGTCTATTTATGTTTTTTTTTCCTTTTTTTGACACTGTCTTGATAACTGTAGCTTTATAGTAAGTCTTATAATCAGATAGTGTGACGCCTCCAATTTTTCTCCCTTTAAGAAAAATTGTTTTGGTTATTCTAGTTTCTTTGCCTTTCCATGTAAATTTTAGAATCAACATGTCGATGGCAACAACATCCCAAAAATCTGGCTGTGATTTCAACTGAAATTATGTTAAATTCAGTGGCCAATTTAGGGGAGAATCGACATCTTCACTCTTGTTGTATCTTCTGATTCATGAACATAGTTTGCCTCCCCATTGGTTTAGATCTTTGATGTCTTTCATCAATGTTTTGTAGTTTTCATTATACAAATCTAATATATTTTATCAAATGAAATCTAATAAAGATTTCATTTGAAGGAAAGCATTGCAAAAATATTTTTAATTCGAGTTTCCAATTGTTCATGGTTAGTATATAGAAATGCACTTGATTGTGTGTTGACCTTGTATCCTGTGATCTTGCTAAGTTCACTTACTCTCAGAATATTTTTTGTAAATTTCTTGGCTATCTGCATGTAGACAACCAGGTTATCTACAAATAGACATAGTTTTATTTTTTTTCTTTTCCAATCTGAATGCCCTTGATTTCTTTTTTTCTTTTTTTATTACACTGGCTAGGACTTCCAGTATGATGATGAATATGAGTAATGGGATAGACATTCTTGCCTTCTTCCTGATCTTAGAAAGTCATCAGTTTTTACCATTAACTATGATGCTAGCTATGGGTTGTTTGTATATGTCCTTTATTAAGTTAAGGAAGAATTAGAAAGCATTGTCTCCTGTTTTCTGGAAGAGATGTGTGAATTTGGTGTTATTTCTTCTTGAAGTGGTAGAATTCACCAGTATAACCATCTGGACCTTACAATTTCTTTTTCTTTTTCTTTTTTTTTTAAGAAGACTTTAACAATGAATTTAAATTATTTAATAGCTAAAGACTATTTATTTCATCTTGGGTTAGTTTTGAACAGTTTGTCATTTTAAGGAATAAGTCCATTTCATCTATTGTCAAATTATACATGTAGACTTGTTTGTAGTATTTCCTTATCTTTTATTGCCTCCAGGATCTGTAGTGGTATTACTTTTCATTCTTCATTCTGATTATTTGTCTACTTCTTAGTCTGGCTAGAGGTTTATCACTTTTTAAATCTTTTTAAACAAGTACCTACCTGGTGTACTATTTCACTTCTCTATTGTTCTTCCCTTTTATATTTGATTGATTTGCATGGTTTTGCTTGCTTCTAGTTTATGTTTCTTTTTTTCCCTTGCTTCCCCTCCCCCCCTAATTTTATAAGGTGACAACTTAGATTATTTATTTGAGACCTGCATTGCATATATGTCTGATTTGCTGCATCTTCCTTCTTATTCTTTTCAAAATACAGATCTTCCTCAAATTATGGTGGGGTTATGTCCCAAAAAACCTATCATAAATTGAAAATATAATTGGAAAATGTAGTTAATTCACCTAACCCACTGAACACCATGGCTTAGCCTGGCCTACATTATCCGTGCTCAGAACACTTAGATTCCAGTACACTGTCAAGTATCGGCTGTCTGTCCTCTTGATCTCATGACTGACTAGGAGCTGCAGTTCACTGCTTCTGTCTGGTATTGTAAGAGATATTGTACTCATATTACCAGCCTGGAAAAGAACAGAATTCAATGTTTAGTTTCAACTGTATACTATTGCTGTTGCACGATGGTAAAGTCGAAAAAATAATAAGTCAAATCATTGTAAGCTGCCACCAATATATATATTCTAATTTCCCTGGAGATGACCTCCTTAGAACTGTGTGTTTAATTTCTAAGTAATTGGAAATTTTACAACCATCTTTATGTTATTGATTTCTAGTTCATGGCCAGAGAACATACATATTTCATTTGTTTTTCATTTGCTAATGTTTAGTTTATCATGTAGTTCTATCTTGGTGAAGTCTTCTTTGGGGGAAAAAAACATTATTTTAGGTGGAGTGTCTCATAGGGAGTGTCTCATAGTTGTTAATTAGGACCAGTTGATTTGCAGCGGTTTCAATTCTTGTATATTATTCTGCTTTCCTGTTTACTTCTTCTACGGAATACTAAGAGAAGAGTATTGAGTGCCCAACTAATAGTGAGCAAATTTATCTACATCTCCTTTCAATTTTGCTTTTTTGCTTCCTGCATTTTGAAGCTTGGTTCTTAGGCACATCATATTTAGAATTGTTGTCTTTTCATGTTGTGCTGACCCTTTCATGAAATGCAGAGTCTCTGTCTGTCTTATTTTTTGGAAGTTTATTTTTTCTGATATTATCAGTCACTCCAGTTTTATTTTGACTAGTGTCTGTATATAAACACTTCTTACTTCTTACATGATATATCTTCTTATATTCTTTTAGTTTTAGCCTACTTGTATCATTATAAGTGCATTTCTTGTATTAACTGTATGCTATAGAGTGTTGGTTGTTTGCCTTTGTGATCTCTTGGATCTAGTTTGATACATACATACACATATATACATGTGTGTGTATATAGATATCTCCAGTTTTTTTTTAAATGATATTTTCAGACCATAACCACAGATATTTGGGTTTAGGTCTACCGTTGTTCTCTGTTATTCTGCTCTGTTTTTCATTCCTCTCTTTCCATTTTCTTGCCTTCTTTTACACTATTATTATTTTAAAGTATTCCATTTTAATTTTGTATGTGTTTTTTAGAGGTTATACTAGAGAGTATAACATATATATATTTAACTTTTCATAATTTCTTAGAATTAATATCTTACCACTTCACATTGAATGTAAAAACCATATCACCATGTAGATCCTTTTACCATCCCGTTGAGTCATAGTTGTGAAATACAGGATATCTGCATATGTTACAAATGCTATCATACTACTATAATTTTTGCTTTCAGCTGTCACATGCATATTAAAAAATGTAAGAGAATAGTTGTGATTTTTATTTCTCTTTACTTCTAAATTCTAAGTTTCTCTTTGGTACCACTTATTTTTCATCTGAAGAAATTCCTTTAACATTTCTTTTAGAGGAGATCTGCTGGAAGTGAATATTCTTAGCTTTTCTTCATTTGAGAATTTGTTTTGTTTTCTTCCTGGTGATTCTTTTAACCAGTGTGGACTTCTTGATTGATGATCTTCTTTCCTTTAGCACTTAAAAAATGTGTCATTTCCTTCTGGCCTCCACGGTTTCTTATTAGAACCCCACAGTCATTACAATGGTTGTTTCCCAATTGTTAATACCACATTTTTCTCTTCCTGCTTTCAAGATTTTCTCGTCTTTGATTTCCAGCAGTTTGATTATGATATACCTAGGCGTGGATTTCTTTATGTTAATCCGCCTGGGGTTCGCTGATCCCCTTTCAACAGACTTGAGATATTTTCAGCTGGTATGTAACAGAGTTTTTTGTACCAGATTTTCTAATTCTGTGTCTGAAAACATGAACTCTACACTTTATCTTATTGTTCCACAAACTCTCATGGCCCAATTTCTTTTTAAATTCCTCTCTGTAGTTCATATTTGATAATATCTTAGTATTCTCATTTTGCTGTAAGAAATTACCACAAAGTTAGTGGCTTAAAACAATACCTGTGTATTATTTCACAATTTTTGTAGGTCAGCGATCTGGTTGGGCTTGACTGGGTTCTCTGCTAAAGGTCTCACAAGACAAAAATCAAGGTGTTTCTAAGGCTGATGTCAAGTGCATTTTTTAAAAAGATTTATTTATTTATGATTACAAGAACTGGGGTACAGGCCAGAGGTGTGGGAGGTGAGAGGATTCACCAGAGACAGAATGGGGAGCAGAACAGGCAGGTAGACCGAAGTACACGGTTGAGGGGTGCAGCGGGCAAGTCAGTAGAGGTCTCTTGCGCCATGTGGACAGCTCCATCGCCGGGGATTGAACTTGCACTGCAGAGGCTACGGACAGTTTCACAGCACTGTACTCAACCCCTTGTGCCACCAGGGAGGCCCCCAAGTGCATTTTTTACTGGAGGTGCTGGGCAAGAGTCTCCTTCCTAACTCATTCAGGTTGTTGACCAGATTGAGTTCCTTGTAGTTGTAGGACAGAGGACCCCAACTTTCTACTGCCAACTAGGAGCGGTCTTTTCTCTGAGCAGCTGCCCACATTCCTCCTAATGTTGTTCTTGTGGCTCCTCCAGCAATGACAGGCTGAGTCCCTCCCATTTTTTGAATATTCTGATTTTCCTTCACTGCATCTCTCTGAATTGAGCCAGAAAATAATCCCTGCTTTTAAGGATTCATGTGATTAGACTGAACCTACCCAATAATTCAGATAATTCTAATTTTAAAGTCCATAACCTCAATTGCAACTGCAAAGTGCCTTTTGTCATGTGAAGTAACGCTCATATTTTCCAGGGAATAGGGCATGGGTATCTTTGGCAAGGGTGAGCATTCTGTCTGGCGCAGATAATTTCTATTGATCTGTCTCCAATTCACACACTGTTCTATTCTGCTAATGAGGGCATCCAGTATATTTTCAAATTTTGATTATTACATGTTCTCAATTCCCATATTTCTATTTGATTATATTCTGTATCTTTTATTTCTCTGCTGAGATTTTCTTTTAGTTCTAATGTCTTTCTGGTATTTCCAACATCTTGGGTCATCTCAGTATTCAGACTCTTGATTTTCTGTATGTAATTTTGAATTGTATCCTGGACATTTTGAATATTATAAGGCCCTAGGTCTTAAATACTATGGAAAATGTTGAGGTTTTGTTTTAGGAGGCAATTGACTCATTTACGTAAGGTTTGGATCTGCCTCCTGGGGTCTGTGAAAAACAAGATAAGAGGGCTCCAAAGAAGTCACTTATGCTAAGCCCACATCATCACACTGAGAAATAACTATAGTTTTGGCTCTCCCAGAAATGTGGTCTTAAACCAGTCAGTCAGGAATCACCTGACCGGCATTAGTGAGGTCATCTGCCTGCTAGTCCCCAGCCATCCCCTGAAGGAAAGTTACCTGCAATAACCAATCCACTTATTTTTGCCTAGTGTAATTAATGTCTTTACTCTTGCTCCTTTCTGCCCATAAAAGTCATTTTTGTACAGCTCCTCAGAGCTCTTTTATACCTGTTAGATTGAACGGTGCCCAATTCATGAATTATTGAATAAAGCCAATGAGATCTTTAAATTTTACTCAGTTGAATTTTATTTTTTAACAGGGCCATAGTTCCAATATCAATTCAGTTTCCAAAACTTTTACAGAACCATCCTAAACTTTGGCCACTCGGGGGCCAATCTGAAATCTGGGAGTTCTACCTAAAACAGTCTAATTCTCAGAGTCACTGGAATACTGCTTAGGCATCCAGGCATATTAGCAGAGAAGTTCACGAACAACTTTGTGGAATCCATTTCTCAAGCTCCCTCCTCTTCACTATCTCCTCCAGCCTATCCAGTTTTCAAGATCACCTTCTTCCCATCCCAGTGCACCCCCACATCCTCCTCCTGGAAAATCAGATCCTTTAGTCTCCATGCTCTGCCATATACGTTCTGTGACTAGGCTGCTCTGAGTTCAAGTGATGGAAAAAAGTCAATGGACCTTCCCCCCATCACCCACACACCCCTTAACCCCCAACCCTGTCCCAACACATACACACTTATAAGCCACAATTCTTTGGTTCAGAGACAAGGAGTCCCCACAGAATTTTAGGTGCTTTCCCAGCTGCCACTGCGGCTGCGCAGTTTCACCTTCTTTAAGAGGCTTGCCTGGGGGCAGGGCCAGAGAAAAGCAGTAGGGTTAGGGTTAAGTAGGATTTCCCTCACCCTCTATGTGAAAGGGCCCTCCTCCTTACTCCTCAGACCATAAAGCCAGGGCTCCCTTGGAGGCCTGGCTTTCTGTGGCCATTGTACAGTTCAGGATTCACACTGCTTTTGAGACTAGGCCAGGAGACACAGGAATAATAAGCCAAACAGGAAACCAGCCACCAGAGTATTTATACCTCAAGTTCTGATTCTTTCCCAATCCACCTGCTACCGTTTCTTTTTCAGAGTCCTCAGATTGCTGCTTCATGCATTCTGCTCAGGTTTTCAGTTGCATTCAGGAGGAAAGACAGACTATATTTATCCTATCTTACTCAGAACTAGAGCACTAAGAAATTTATTTTTAAAAAAATACATGCTCATTTGTGGAAAAAGGAAAGCAAATCCTTTCCAACCACAGTATTTCTATTTTCAAGCAGTAACCAAGTCAACATTTTGGTATTGTGGTATATTCCTTAGAATTTTTTTTTTTCTTTCATAGTTGAGAAAATAAGGTGTTGGATTCTCCTTTAAAATATATTTAATATTCAGAATGGGATGTGGTAGGTAGGACCAGGGTTTCATATTCTAAGTGGGGGAGGTTGAGGTTGGGGACTCTTGAGAGGGTCCAAGTCCTTTTCTCAGTTTATTTCAGGCTCAGACTAGAGTGGCTTTTCACTCAGCAAACCTAGGAAGAAGGTAAATTTGGGGTATATTGGAGGCTCCTGAAATTTCCCTCAAAGATCTCTGTTGAGATGCAGATGTCATTACAAACCCCAGGTAGGTCTTGACCCTAAAGCACACAGCCCTATTCTGCCTTCATATAGCTATAGCCCCACAGCACCTGCCAACACTGGCTGCAGCCTCATGGGAAACCATGAACCAGGGTCACTCCACTCAGTCATCCCCAAATTACCGTTCCACAGAAACTGTAAGGTAATTCATATCTATTGCTTTAAACCATAATGTTGGGGGGTAATTTGTTACCCCAAATCAATACAATCGATGCCACTCTGTGGTGAGCATGCTGGAGACACCATCTCAATGGTCTCCTGCTGACCTGGGTGGTCACCTGCTCACCTGGGAGGCAATAATAGCTTTTCCCTCATCTCTCTGCCGCCTGGCTCAGGCCCCTCTCGTGTCTCCTCCACATAATGTCCCAGCCAAACTGCAGGTCCATTATCAAGCATGTTTATTGCACATCATGACCCTTGTTTGCTCCAAACCCTCTATAGCAGCTCTCCATTGCCCTTCATTAAGTATTTTGGGTTATTTCCAGGAAGTATTTACAACTGAGCAGAAACTGTGTAATGGTGGAGCCTTGGGCATTCCAAGACTGATTTAGGAGCAGATTAGGGAGCAAGAAGAGTCCTTGTTTGCTTAGGCCCCCTGGAATGACAATCCAAGGGCCCCTGGGGAGGATGGGAGGGGTGCCCTGGCAGCTGGGGCTGAGACAAGGCAGCAGCTTTGTTCTGAGTCCACGATGGCAGGATGCCCAGCACAGACCCAGCATCCCTGGCTTCCTCCAAGGCAGGGCAAGGGGGTGGGGAGCTGGGGTGTCCGTCCTGCTTTGTTCCATCTCTCCCCGCAGGAGCATGCCCTGGGGGCTCTCGCTGTGATGTAGAAGGCTAGGGAAATGGGGGTGGCCAGTAGAGCATTAAAGCTTTGAGGAGGGGGCCTCCCCAGTGGCACAGCAGTTGAGCGCTGGGTTGCGAAGCTGCCCGCAGCCTCCGCGGCGCCGGTTCGATCCCCGGCTGCTCCCCGGCCACCGGAGGAGGGTCCCACATGGTGCGCAGACCTCTCCTGCCGCCCGCTGCTTCCCTCAGCAGTGTATTTCATCGATCTGCCTGTTCTGTTCCCCGCTCTGGCTCTGGTGAATTCTCTCACCCTCCTGCGCTTCTGACTGTACCCAGTGCTTGTATAAACAAACAAATAAATAAATAAATCTTAAAAAAGCTTTGAGGAGGGAATGGGGAGACGTCTGTAATAGGTCAGTCTGCAGCGCTTGTCAGTTTGCAAACATGTCTTGCAGGCGCTATTGCTCAGCACTCAGGGCACATGAACCTCCTGCAGCCTCCAGGAGCTATACTGGGTTAGGGTCTCACTTGAACCCGGGATGGTCCTTGCCCAGGGTTTCTCGGCTTAGACATCCCAGAGCGGGGATCTGAATCAACATCTTACTCCAGACGGCCTACTCTTGACTAGTATTCTCTTCTGCTTTGTCCACACGAAGCGCTGTGCCAGTGCAGGGAGGCAGCTGTGAGCAGGACGGTTGTCCCAGCCCTCCCGGAGCCCAGTCCTGTGGGAATCTGTAAACCAGTTCTGGAAAGTGCTCAGGTCCTGACTGGGAAAGCGGAGGGAGCTGGGGTCACCCGACTCTAAACTCAGCTTGCTGTGGGGCATTATTTGAAGCAAGGAAGGTCACTACTGGTGCCCTAAGTCCCCAGCAAGGACTGATGCAAAAAGTGAAGTTCCGAAGGGGGAGGTGACTTGCCTGTGGCAGGAGGAGAGCCTGGAGGGACAGTGGCAGGTTCATAGGAATCACCCAGCAAGCCCTTCCCACTAGTTATCCTGGTGATCCCCAGGATCACTCCCCAACTATACTCTCAGGCCAGGAGAGACAGGTCACACATGAGTAAGGACCAGCACGCGAACTCAGGATTTCTGACTCCCAGTCCAGTGCTCTCTGTGCCCTCTGCTGCAAGGAGTGACAGGGAGGGCTTTAACATTGACCCTGAGGTAGTCACCCCAATGTCAGATGACAAACCAACCCCAAAGCCAAGCACAGCTCCAATGAGCCCCTGTCCCCTGCCACAACCACCAGGGCAGGCTTTGATCTCCCAGGAGGCTCACTATGGAGCCAAGCATTCCATAGGGTCCAGGGGTCTGGGTGAGGTACATAGGGAGGCTCCTTGTTACAGCCGTGGACCCCCTTGAATGGGGAAGCGTCCTGAGTCACCAGGACAGTCTGCACACCCAAAACCATCTGTCCCTCTGTTCTGCCTGACCAAACATCAGAGTGGAGTCGAGAGGTGCTGGGACTGGGCCAGAGGCATCTCTGACTCACAGGGAGGGTGGGTAGTGAGTGAGTCAGCCTGGGCCCACTTCCCCTCCGCAAGCCCAGTGTGGGCTAGGCTGGTGCCCAAAAACCCTGTGTCTGTTTTCCCTAGGCCAGGTGCCTCCCAGGCCATCACTGTCCCCGCCCCCAGGCTTGGGATGAGCCTCCATGCAGTCCCGCCTCCCACTGGGGAGCACAGGAACCCTCCACAAATGCTGGCTACATGAAGGAAGGGCTGAGGACCCTGAGCCCCAGCCCCAGCCTGGTCTATCTCCCATAGTCATGCAGAGAGGGAAGACCAAGTCCATGGCCATTTTCCAGATCAGCCTAGAACCTCAGAGTGGGTGGATAACTAGCCGAAAAGAGAAACCAAGCCAAAGAGAGAAACCAAGTTAGCTGGCACTGTCATGCCCTCCTCACCCCTCGCCCTGACCACCAGGCTCCTCGTTCGGATCCTCTCTATAGGCATCAAAAGCCCCATTTTTCAGATAAGGGAACTGGGGTTCAGAGAGGGCAGGCTACCTACCCGAGGTGCACAGTGAGGTGGGCAGAGTTAGATCCCAGGTCTCCCCACTTCAGGATGGCTGGGGACTTATCATTTTAATGGGCAACCAGGTGGAGGAGTTAAGTACACATACCCCAGGAAAGGTTGAGTTTTGGCCAGCTGTTTAGGGAGGCTCTGGGCTAGCTCTAGGGGTTAGCACACCTGACCCAGGCCCTTTACATGGCAGCCCTCTTCCCCTGCAAGGCCAGGTCTCCAGGCCCTCCCTGCTGGGTACTTCTTCCTCTGTGAGGTCACCCAACTCCTTGCCCTGGACACTGCCCCTTGTCAGGAGCCTTCCTTCATCAGGCTTCCTTTTTTTGGCTTTTCTTTTAAAGGAAAGTTCCATATTTGGGTTTTCTCCCCCAGACAAGGCTTTGACCATGAGAAGAGTAAAGGATGCCAGACCGAAGGAACAGCATACCAGACAGAGGGAACTGCATACCAGACAGAGGGAACAAGCATGTATGGAGGCTCCACTGTGCAGGCCTGGGGGACAAGAAGGAAGCTGGTGAGGCTGGATGGTGGAGCCAAAGGTGGGAGAAACAAGACAGGAGCCTGAGGGCCTTGTGGTCCACAGCAGGAAGCTCTGACTTTGTCCTAAAAGCAGTGGAGCCATAGAAGATGTGTGATTTGGAAAGACTCCTTGGGGCTGGCTGGAAGATGGAGTCTTCCAGATGGAGAATGGATCAGATCAAAGAGGAAGGGGAGGGGCCAGATCAAAGAGGAAGGCGCCGCTACCCAGAAGGTGGGCAATGGCAGCCTGGCCAGTGGGAAGATTTTAGGGAACAGGTCTAAGCTGGGGGCCTGCACAGACCACAATGGGTAAAGCAGAATGCCCTAGTTGTTGTGGGTGGCCAGAGGTCAGTGGGCCATTGCTGTTTCTCTTACTTCCTTGACTGTAGCCCTGAGGAATGACACAAGAGTACAAGCAAAAATAGTTTATTTGAGGATGGAAGACCCAAAACTGGGGGGCCCAGGGGTGAGGCCACAGCAGCTACCTGGAATTGGAACAGATGACCCCATTCCCCGGGGAAGCCCACAGCAAAGAAGCCCATCCCTGGGCCCCCTAGCTGCCTCCCCGCTTCCTGGAAGGATTGTGCAACCACCATGCATCATCATCGGCCTCCTCCGAACTTGGTGAGTTTTCAAAATTTGGCCTACAACTTGCAGTGGTGTCGATCCTAATTGTGATGATTACCCTGACAAGCGCAGTGATGTGCCAGCCTTGGACCCACCATCCAGTGGTGAGTAAGCCCTATGACAAGGAGAGGCAGGCAGAGATGGGGGTGGGTCTCTGGGAGTCCCCATTCCAGCCTCCAGCGTGACCCTTCCGGAAGGGCGTCCCCCACCATGGCCCAGAGGTGGCGGCTGCCAGCTCTCCACTTTTCTCACAGTCACTGGCCAAGGTCAGACTCAGGCTGGGGCTGTACCAGGTGGCCCGTGAACTTCCCTCAGGTCTCAGAGACCCTTGTCAGGCTGGTCCCTCCGCCACAAGCCCCGGCGGGCAGCCCAAGAGGTCACAACCTCACAGTTGTGATAAAGGAACATTCCTGAAAGGGTGAGTGCAATACCCACATAGCTGAGGGCGCTGAGGCGGCTGCCAAACAGAAGCCGGGACAGGATGAGGTTGCCCACGACAGTGAGGTTGCCCAGGACGTGGACGGTGAGGGCAGAGGTGAGGGCCAGCAGGGAGAAGCTGGCCAGGTTGTAGAGGATGGATAGGAGGCAGCTGAGCAGGATACAGGCCCAGAGGCGAGAGTCAGTGGGAGCTGGCGGCAGCGCCACGCCAGCCTCCAGCACCAGAGTTGCGCCCGCCAGCAGGCAGAAGCTGGGCAGCGAGGTGGCGTACAGCAGGGTCACCGCATCCAGCCTCTCCTCCTGCAGCAGGGCACCTGCAACCAGGACAGCGGCTGTCAGCACCGGGTGGGGAGACAACCCCCCGCCTTGAGAGTCCAGGATAACCTCCACTGCCCATCCTCCCCACTCCCCCACTTGGTTACACGGAGGTCAGAAATCCAGAGTCAGGCCACCTGAGTTGTGACCTCAGTCCACTTCGAATTAGCTGTGACCTAGCACTTAACCTCGGTGAGCCCCAGTTTCCTTTATCTGCAAAGGTGGATGCTAATAAAATAGATCATTTGCACGAAGCCTTTCTAAGATAAGTGCTCAGTAATGTAAAGCGATAAAATAATGAGTATACTAAAAGTAAATAAAGCAGGTGTCACCCACTTCCCACAGACTGAAACAAGAACTCCTCCCCCACAAAAAAACCTTCAAGGGCTCCCCAGGCTCTGCCTGGAGAAAAAGTCTTAGGTTCCTAACCAGCTATGAAGACCCTGTGCCAACGGGCACTCTCCCACCTTTCTTGGGGTCAGCCCTGACTGTACCCATCAGGACCCCACAGGGCAGTTCCCACCCCCATAGCAGGGACAGGCTGGCAGAGGGTCCCAGCTCTGCCACTTACAAGCAATATGGCCTTTACATTAAAAAAAAAGTTTTAAAATAATAACTTGTTGGTGTTAGAATGGTGGGTCCATTCATTGCTTCATTTACTTATGACCGTTGAGATGATAAGGGAACAAGGAAGCCATTGATTGCACTTGGCTGTCACTCTTTATAAGTTTCACATCTTTGGCTGTCAAGACTGGGGCTTATGGAGATGAATCCAGGTGGAAAAGGAAACCTTTTAGACAAACACATGCAATTTGCAGCAACATAGATGGCACTGGAAGGGATCATGCTCAGCGAAATAAGCCAGAAAGAAAAAGAAAAATACCGGATGGTCTCACTCATAGCAGGAATCTAGAAAACTTAAATAAGGGACCAGGAAAATGAATAACTATAAGAAAGAAAATATCAAAATCAACAAACAACTATGAACCAGAGACACTCTATGGGGGGTGGGAGACGGGGAAAGGAAGGCTTGGGGTCAAAATAAGGGGGTTGTAATTGTATGGGGAATATAAAAATATAATTTAAATAAAAATAAAAAAAACAAATTTTTTAAGTTGATCCCAGAAAAAAAAAATTAATTAATTAATTAAAAAAAAAAAAGGAAACCTTTTATCTTTGCAAGAACAGCAGGGATCCTATCACCTCCTTGCACATGTGTGAGTGTGCGTGTGTGTGTACACAATACTGCCCAAATGGTTCACAAAAAAAGTAGTGCCGTCATTAAAGCCGCAGCTCAGATATAGTGAGTGTTGGCAGGAGGGCAATGAAGACGTGGGGCCTTCTCCAAGTTTCAGTGCAGAGATGAGTAATGAATGCAGGCCCCCTCCCAGGGCTCTCTGAGGCACTATGCATTTTCTGACACACACTTTCCAAAGTGTCACAGAGATGCTTACTCATAAGCTATGCTTAGAATAGGAAATCTTCTTTCTCTCAATTTCATTCTGATGTTTGGCTTTGTTCTCTAGGCAACAGTCCTTCCAGCTCTAGCATTTCTAGAAATGAGCAGATAATTGGAATGCCTCCTGCTCTTCCACTCCAAATTTAGCATTGTTACAAGCTGCCTGTGGCCTGCGTGTTAATGGTACAATCACTGGAAGGAGTTTAAATTTCAGGTGAACTTCACCTTTGGAAAATTCCCCCCTCTGTGAGATAGTCAGGCAGGAAGGTTCCAGCTCCCCCACCAGCCCTGCACCCCACCCTTCCTGCACCCCAGGAAATTGCAATGATGCTCTGCCAGAGAGGACTCAGCCCACATAAGGCCCCTCAAATTCCAGCCTGTTGTCCTGCCTCTTCAGCGACCTCTCCCGTGCCAGGGCCTCCATTCCCCACCCCAGCTCTCCATTTCAATCTTTCCTTCTCCAAAGGCATTTTTTTTTCCCAGCATCTGAACACATCCGAGCTTCTGCCTGTTCTCTGGACCCTGTTCAGCTTGCTACTGGCATACCCCATCTCTGTTCTTCACTAGCTGTGTGATATCAGGTAAGTCACCCTCTCTTTCTATCTGTCTCCTTGTGTGTGGCATGGAGAAGGTGACCAGAGTCCCCTCACAGGGGTGTGTGCAGTGCTGAGCACAGCCTTGGTGCCCAGTTAACTGCTCACCACAGTGGCTGTTTTGGCCTCCCACACTCTGCTCCTGCTGGCTGATACCCCATGCCCTGACAAAGCAGACTTCCTGTTCCCACAATGCTCTTTCCTGCTCTGGCCGAAAAAAGAGCTGGGCATGGTGCGTGCCCATGGAGAGGGTTCAGTAACTGTTGTTACTTTTATTGCATGATCGTTCACTTCTCTGTGCAAGCCTCCACTCCTAGGCAGTCTTCTCTGGTCTTTAGAAGAAGTACCCACACCATGCCTGTGTGCATTTTGGGTCCAGAGCTTGTCTCCTGCTATTGTGATCTCTGCTTCTGATGTGTCCCCCACCATACTGAAATCTCAGAGTAGATGGATCAGGTCAGGTTGTTCCCTGATACAGGTAAGTCCAGCTGAGAATAAGCTCAGCAAAACAGCACCCTAATTCTAAGCCTTTTTGTGAGTGGGAAGGTACCATCACCCTTCTCCCCAAATAGGCCCCCTCGGCCTAAAATTGACCCAAGTAGGAGGGTAGCCTGGGTGTTCCTCTTCCTAGACTCTCATCTCCTACTCACATGAAGTCTACTCTCAGGAAAGAAGCTTATATCAGTCAGTAACACTCTAGTCTAAATCTGCCTGGTGCTTTCCCTCTAGGGCATTTAGAAATAGAAGCCTCCTCTTATCCAAAACCCATCTCTCTACCTAGCTCCAGTCTGTTTCTCTGTAACTCTGTTGCTTCTTAAGCTCCCTTAGCACCCTAATCATGTCGCCTAGCCAGTCTGCCAATTCTACTGTCAGAGTCATTAATAAATCCAGTTTTTAAAGAGTACCTGTCCTGTGCCAGGTGCTAGAGACATGGAAATGCCCAAAGTCAGCCCACACCTCTCACAGTTCCTGTCTGGGGGGAGCAGACAGTAACCAAGTGGTTATTATACAGGGCAGTTGGGGGTCATGATTGGGGAAGCTGAGGGTGCTGTGGAACTTAGAGCAAGCAGCCAACCTGCCTCAGGAGTCAGGCAGTTGACAGCTGGGAGAAAAGGAGGGAAGTGGCAGAGAAGCAGCCTGATGCCAAGCACCTGCCACTCTGTGCCCATGTGCCTGAAGCCTTGCTGGCCAGAGCCTGTCCTGCAAGCTGGGACTCCCCCTGGGTGAGGTGCACTGGGCCTCTCAGTAGGCCAGGGCCTTCCCAGCCTTGTGGCCCTGCCAAGGAAGGGGGTAGCCTTTGGGTCAGGTTTCCTACTGCCAACTCATGCCCAGAGCTCATACCCTAGCTCAGTCCCTACCTCTCATATAACCTGAGGGTGAAAATAGAACTGTGCTTTGGCCCTGTCTCGGGTCTGGGAGGATGAAAACAGAGCATCTGAAGATGCCAGGGCAGGACTGAGCTCTGACCTCATCTCTCCCTGACTGCCCCTAACCCCAGCCCAGTGCTGGGAGCAGCCCCTTCCTACGGCAGGCCTGGGTCACAGGATTTCTGAGTTGGAAAGAGCAAGTGGTCCCAAGAAGTCTATCAATTCCAATTCTCACCCACTGAAGGATGGGGAGACTGAGGCCCAGATAGGACTTGGACCTGCTCAAGGTTACCCATCACGTATAAGCAAATGTGTGGGTAGGACCCAGGTTGCCCCATCCCAAGCGGGTACCCTAGCCTCCTCCATATTTCCCTTGGATTGAGGCAGAGAGAAGGTGGAGGCTGTGATTCAGACACCGTTTAGTAGTACAGGCAGGAAAGTGCCCGCCACCCTCAGACAGTGATTTAGTAGGGTCTCAGCCTGGAGCTTCCATCCCACCCTCCCCTTTCATCAGAGTCAAGGTCTGGAGCACGTGGACCTGGAATTACATGAACCAGCAGTGTGACCCTGGACAAGCCATGAACTTCTCTGGGTCCCAGTTCCATCATCTGGTTGCCATGACGACCGGGGGTCAGTACCCAGCAAGGGACCTGTTACACTGCAGCTTCCATTAAACATTAGGCCTTCCCAGATTTAGCCAACCCCTGCCTTCCAAATCTCAGCTCACTTGCCAACTTCTCCCTCCCTGGATCCCACTGGCCTGCCTCTGGTCCCCCACCTTACGCCACGCCACTTGCACAACATTGAACTCGATGCTTGGGTTCAATCAAATATTGCCTCTGCTGCTCATTAGTCACAGTGAGGCAAGCCCCTCTGCCTCTCTGTCAAATGGGCACAATAGAGCACCTTCCTTGATCAGGGCTGTGTGGAGATCCAGTGTGATAAAGGGCTTGGCAACACGGGAAACACAGGTTCATAGCAACTATTACTAAATACTGGTTGGGCCTAAGGAACCTAAGTTTGGAGCCTGGAACTCACTGAGCTGTTGCCCCTTCCTGAGCCTCAGTTTCTTTATCTGTAAAATGGGATAACAGCCATAACCCTCACAGGACCATCCAGGCCACAAAACCACCCCAGCCCCTACCTCCTCAGTCAGTGACCCAGGTACTCACTTTGCTGGATGGACTTGAGGCCACGGAGGCAGGTGGCAGCCAGCAGGAATCCACAGCCGGCGGGGGGTGCCTGGAGCTCCCCGGCCAGGCTGCAGGCAGCACCCAGGCAGAGAGGACCCATGGCGGCAAACTGCAGCGGGTGGTGGCGCCGGCCAAGCAGCAGCGCGGACAGGGCCAAGGTGACCAGCGGCGTGGTGGTGGTAGCCAGCTGCGCCAGGTCCAGGGGCACAGTGCTCAGGCCCACGTTGCCGCAGGCCATGGATGTGCCAAAGGTGAGGCTCAGCAGCAGCACCTGGCGCCGGGCGCGGCCAGGCATGGGGCGCCGGGCCCCCCAGTGGCACGCCAGCGCGGCCGACAGCATGTGCAGCGCGGAGAGCAGCAGCGGCCGCCCGAAGCCATGCACTGTGAAAATCCACTTGTTGAGGCTCGACATGCTGGCTCCCGCCAGCAGCCACACCAGCGCTGCCACGGCCACCCGCGCCCGGCTGGGCCACCCAAGGGCCGGGGGGGTGCCGGGGGGCCACTCCGGGGACCCGGCCACCCGAGCACCGCCTGCCATCACCGCTGCCTCAGCTGAAGTCATCCCGCCGTCATGGTGCTGCAGCAGGCAGCGGCACATCCGTACCAGGGGGGCCCGGGTGGAAGGCCAGCTCCCTAGTGGCCAACTTTGGGCCACCAGGGAGCCCCACTTTGAGCTGGTCCAGATCCCTGTACCTCCTCCTCGGTATCCTTGGGTCCAATTCCTTGTCTCAGACACGTGAGGGCACTTCTTGCGCCAGGCCTGTGCCAGTCAAGGTCCGGAGCTATGCTGCGCGCGCGGCTCCCGCAGGACAGCGCCCAAAGCGCGAGCGCCGGGATGCCAGCTTCTCGGGTGCTCCAGTCTGGCCTAGTCGGCTCCAGGCACCTTTGCCCCGTGCCAGGTGCAGCCTCCACTCTTCTGCCCGCCTGAAGCCCAGCTGCGCTCTGAGATAGAACCCTCCTGCCCCGCTTTCCTTCGATCCAAGCCCTGGGACCTCCTGCGCGCTCAGGCGGTGCCCAGGCCCGGGAGGGGCGATGCAGGTCCCCGCGTCCGGGGGTGCCCAGGAGGAAGCCGCTCGCTGCCCGCGGCGATGCCCAGGCTCGAAGGCCGACAAGCCGGCCCGCGGCAGGCGCCAGCCCGACCCGGCTCCCGCAGGGCCTGCGCGCTAGCCCGGATCCCGCAGCTCGGACTGCGGCTTCGGCCGTGGGAGCTGCGCCCTCCTGGCTCCAGCCTGGGCCTGGCCGCGCGCGCGGGCGTGGCCCCGCGCCCCTCGCCCCGCCCCCGCCGCCTCCCGCGCCCCAACAGGAAAGTTGGGTTGAAACTGCGGCCCCGCCCCTGGCCAGGCCCCGCCCCAGGCCGGGAGGGACGCGTCGCCCCGCCCCGCGCCGCGCGCTCGGGCCCCGCTCCATCAGCTCCGCGGTCCCTCCCAGCAGAGCGGCTGCAGCGGGAGGGGTCAGCCGGGCTGTCTCCCCAACCGGTGGGGGCCGGGCCCCTCCAAGCCCAGTGCCAATGCGAGCCCCCCTCTAGAGATCAGCTCAGGGCGGGAGACACGGGGCTGTCCTTCTCAGGGAACCCAATAAGCACCCCCACCCCCACCTCAGCTTCCAGGAGGGGCCCTTCCGGTGTCCCAGGACCAGCCCGGGCCGCCCGGTCTGTAGTCACAGTTATCCCATAGGACCTCGGCATCCTGCGGTGGGACCACGGCTCTCCGGAGCGCCTCCCTAGCCCCAGCGTCTCCACCCGCTCCCGGCCCAGGGCGGGGTCCCTTTTGGGCCCTCAGAAGGAAGCTGAATCACCATGGTCACCACAGCAGCGGAAGCATCCATTCCCCAGCCCCTGTCCATCCCCGGGGCGCTCGGAGCTGACTCATGGCTGGCCTTCGTGGAACCCCCCTTCGCCCCCAGTCCTGGCAAGAAAAGACAAAGCCCTGGGCGGGGTGGCAGAGTAGCTGGAAACACGCCCTCGCCCTATCTGGGTCTCAGCTTTCCCATCGGAAGGACAGATGCTGTCTGGGACCAGGATCGGATCCACAGCAGAGCCCCAGAGCAGGGCAGCCCTGTCCGGATTCCAGGCCGCAGGCCCGGCCCTCCCTGCGCTTCGGAGAGCAAGTGGGCTAGGCCCTGGGCAGAAGGCCTGGCCCAGCCAAGTGCCCAGAGCCAGCTGCCAACATCTTTCCTGACACTGGCATCCTTCCCTTTGGAAGCCGCTGCCCACTGGGACACGGCGCACCCCTAGTTTATTGTCTGACCAGCAAGTCCTTGATGACAGCAAAGGCTCTGCAGCAACCAGACCCGAAAGGGAGCCCGCTTAGCCCGGTCCGCGGCGCCCTCTGGTGGTCGGATTATAGAATGGCAGCAAGTGTCCCGCAACCCCCGACAAAATTACTGAACTTGATTAAACCCCTCAGCCTCAGAGAGAGAGAACTCCTGATTCAGACGCTCTCCTGTGGGCCCAGAGAGCTGCACCTTTACATTTTCCCCTGGTGATTCTGCCGCCCATTGGATCCTGCAAGTCACTGCTTAATAGGCCCAAATGTAGAGCAGGGGAGCTCCTGGCCAGAGATCAAAACAGATAGGGTTTCTCCAGAAGGGGCTATAGGAGGGAAACTGAGTCAGCAAGGGGCAGCACTCCCTTCCTCCCCCCACACTCCCTGAGGAAAAGGAATCACGACCCCCTAAGGCTTATATTGTTATGTATTTTGTCAACTTTCAAGTTAGGCTCCCTTTAATAAAAACCATAATAATGTAAAAAAATAATAATAATAAACATCCTGACCTTCTCAGATGAGCTGGCAGTGGTTGATGGTGAAAATCTGTCTATACTTCCCCAAAGACTACCACGAAGTGGCCCCCACCTGCCCTGCCTGGTGCGGGGGTGGCTGCGAGGAGTAAGAATGGACTAGATGCAGCCCAGGTGGGCCTTGCTGGGGTGAGAGGGCTGCACAGGTTGAGGTGGGAGGGTGGGCTAAGGGCAGAGCCCAAGCAGGTAACCCTGAGGTGATCCCAGATAGGAGCCCAGGAAAGCCAAGGTGCAGACTCAGCACCACTGACCGCCACAGACAGAGCCCAACCCTGCATGGTGGCCCCCGGAGTGGGGTACAGGCCAGAGCTCTGCAGGGAAGGAAGCAAGGTGCCCAGGCATGTGCCTCTTGAATGGTGGTGGAGGGTTCAGGCCAGGTCTGTCTGGCTCCAGAGCCCTGATTCTAACCTGCCCTGACTTGCAGGCAGCAAGGCTCTCAGCAGGATAATCCTTTGGGGGACATGGGGTGGGGAGGCAGAGGGAGCCTAGCTTCATGGAGGGCAGAAGGAGGCTCCTTAGCACTCCTGGGGTCCACCCACAAGCTCAACTGTGTGTGCCCTTCTGACCCCCCTGCCTCATGCTGCAAGAAGCAGGTAATGTGGGGTGGGACTCCAGGTGGCGCTGGAAGAGAGAAGAACCCATTTCCGGCAATGGGGATGCAGAGGCTGTGGGTCGGCCTCTCCTCTCGTTGCTGCGTGTCCCTGGACACACATTCACTGCTGTGGTCTCCGCTTCCCCTGCTGTGATCAATGAGGAGCCCATGGGCTGTGTAAACCAGGGCATGTTCCCGAAGTTGTGAGTTAGGAACCAGGCTGACAGCGGGAAACTCAACTGTCTGGAGTCATATAGACCCAAATACAGGCGGGACGTCAGCCTGGGCCTGATTCCCAGAGACGGCCTCTGTTTATTAGACTCTTTGTGGGCCCCTGCATGGGCCATGCCTGTCCTCTTACCCACATACCTCCTCGAGTCCCTGCTGATGGTGCCGGGCAGGCACCTGACCCAGTGGACTGCGCTCCAGGCTTTGGGACACAGGCTGAGAAAGCAGGAGAGGCTGGGGACTTGAACTGGAAGGCGGCAGTGTCCCAGCTGGGGCCATGCTCCGAAGCCGCTGACTGAGGGGATGGCAGAGGGAAGGCCTGAGGACAGTGGAGGTGACCGACTCCTGGGCCTCAACTTCCATCTCCCACCACCCTTGGCTGCCCCAAATTGGTGAGTGGGTCTTTTCAGGAAATGACCTTTGATTTGAGCAGGATTCAGTGATTCTGAACAGGATTCAGCTCCTACTAGAACACTACCTCCAGAGGGAGGCTCTCCTGCTCGTGGGCCCTTCAAAGCCCACGTGACCTGTCTCCAGCCTGGCCTGAGACCTGCCACAGCCAGTCTCCCCTACCAGTGTCTCTGGGGTGGGGAGGCAGCAGCGTGGTACAGTGACACCGGGCAAGGCGTCAAGTCATGGGGTGAGGATCTTGGCTCTGCCACCTCCAGACTGTGTGGCCCTAGGCAAGAGGAGCCCCACCCTGTGCTGTGGGGTTAAAGGTGAGTCACGGAGCAGTTGCCAGCCTGGAGGAAGGCGAGACACTTGAACAAGCACGTGGAGCTCTGGGCACACATTTCACGGTACGCGCAGGGGTGGGTTTTCATTCCTGATACTCTCATGTTCATTTCAGTATAAAAAAATTTTAAAACACCTCCGTCCCCTCCCTGCCCAGTGTTTGGAAGTGGCTTTCTAGGAAGAGGCGCATTTAATCTTGTTTTCGAGGACTCCAGGAGCATCCAAGGGCTCCCTTCCCTTCCTTGGTGGGTTGTAGGCAAAGGGTGTCCCTTGGCCTGAACCCCAACTCCTAGAAGGCAGCCCAGGGTCAAGAGAGGCAGGGTGGTGCCCTGACTTAGGAAAGGCAGAGGCTCAGAGTACAAGCCTTCCTGGGCCCCCAGCTGAGTTTGGGCTCGCAACCTCAAAATCATAACGCACCCAATTTTCAGTGTTTGAGGGGAGGAGCCAGAAGGCCACCCCAGGCCAGCTCTGTGTGCCACTGTCAGAAACAGCCCCTGCCTGATGGTCTGGGTGAATCAGTTTTCCTCTTTGAAGACCAATGTCTTTATCTGTCATGCAGAGATGAAAAGGAAAATATCAACAACTTTGGTTTGCACAAGAAAGTGTTTAGCAAGTATGTGCCCCATAAATAGTCAGCAGCATCATTATCCCCAGCTCCCAGGAGGATGTCACCCACCCTTTTCTGCTCCCCCCAGTGGCATCGCCCTTTCTCTGTACCCCAGCATGATGCACCAGAACACTGCAGCCATTGCACAATCAACGCTTTAATCATTTTGGAGGTGGACTTTGAGCAGCTCCATAGAATCCTTACTAGCTACTGTGCCCCCAGTGGCTCGGGGCGCCCCCTGACACTGGAGTGGAGAGCTGGGGTCAGTCCTTCCTGCAGGTCATCAGCCCAGAGCGGGTGGTACTCACGACATCAGTGGCCGGGGGAGGCTCCTGGTGCTGAGGCGTCTGAGACGCTTCAAGACCGTGGGCTCTGGGGGACTGCAGGGGATGCCTGCAGGGACCTTCTCGGGATGGTGCTTGGCTCTCTGCTCTGGGCGGGGCAGTGGCTTAGGACCCTCACAGGATGGTGACTGGGGTAATCAGGGACACGGTCCAAGTGCACGTGAGGTGGCAGCAGGGTCAGGCACATGCCTGTCACGTGTATCTGGCTGGAGGGCAGAGGCCCAGAGAGTGTGCAGGGCTGAAGGAGGTGAGCCCAAAGGGCTACCAGCTAACCAGCCTCAGCTCGATGGTTTCTCCGTCCTTGGGTCTGTAGTCAGCAATACCTGCAGAAACAGACCACATGTGGGGGAAGGTTCGCAGGGCAGGGGGTCCCACGCCCCAGTCATCTCCTGGACCCCCACTCTTATGGGTCTGGAAGATGCTCTCACGGTATGGCTGTGGGAAGCCAGGAAACAGAGTCTTCAGGAAACACTGAAATATGCAGCTCAGGGTCCCGGAGGCCCACAGGCCTCTCTTGCAGAGGGGACGCCCCTCAAGAGTAGTTACACTGGGCAGGGTGCGAGATAACCAACATGGAGGGAAAGAAAGCAGGGGCCTGACAATGCCCACCCCCAGATCATTGTCTCTGAGTCCCCTAGGGGTTGAGAGAAAGAGGAACTTGCTCTGTGAGGTGTGGAGGGAGAACCAGGACGATGGGTAAAGTCAGCCTTCACTCAGGCGGGACAATCTAGGCCCTGTAGGACCCCGGGATTCAAGCCCCAACTCTGGCACTCACTGGCTGTGTGACTTTGGATAAGTTATTTGACCTCTGTGAGTGCTAGGGTTCTCCAGGCCCTCCCTTTTCCCCAGGACTTCCTGCTGGACTGTGGGGAACTCAGAGGCCCACATCTGCCTCTGCCTCATGTCTGTATGTCCTTTGGGTCCTCCCCCCAGGCCACATCCTCCAGTACAGACTTTAACAGTAGTGGAGCCACAACGGAGGGCCCCATCTGCTATCCCTTTGTTTTATTTCTCACTTTGGTCAAAAGCCAGGCAGGGAAAAAGAATGTTTTCCATTGGATCCCCTCAGAAAGTCCCACCTACAAAGCAAGTGGCCCATTGCCTGGCACATGGCTAGTGCCCAGAGGTTCATGTGGCAGGAGCAGGACAGTCTGGCTGATGACCAGGTTTATGCACCGGGATGCTCATGATAGCCTGGAACCTATGAGTTAAACTGGAGACACCCTAGAGGTCCAGCAGGAGTTGTTAAATTGCATCCTATGATGCTGCTCCACTGCCAATTGTGCCATACACAGGCTGGAGGTGGGCCTAAGCCAGCCTAGCCATCCCTTCTCTCTAACCAATGGTGGGTGTAGAGCCTGGGTGACCTCCTAGCAACAGGGGTGGGTCCAAGAATCCACCTGTGTCCCAGTTTCACCTTTGAGATACCAGAAGTTTGCCAGAGGATTCAGAGACAAGTGTTCTCAGTCATAAAGGGAACAATCCCAGGAAGACACAGAAGGGCCTCCCTAGAGAAGGGAGTCACAGTGAAGTGTGCTGGCCCCTTGATCACACCAGCCCAGAAACTCCTATTCCCTCTGGACTCCACATGAACTAATCGATCTCACACCACAGAAGCTGGTTTGCAATGCATTTCCGGTTACCTGCAGCCCAAAGCATCCTAGTAGATGATGTAGTCTATTACAAAGAAAGGGAAGAGCTACACACACCAACATAGAAAAATGTTGGTAATATAATAAGAACAAAAAAAAAAATAAGCTGCAAAACCATCTACAGAGCTGGGCCTCCAATAGGCTAGCTATTAGCCACATGAGCCCAGTGAGCACTTGAAATTTTAGTACCCCAAAAAAGCATGCAAAATATGTCATCAGTAACTTTGCATTGATGACATCCTGGTATGAGAATATTGTCAATCTATTGGATTAAATAAGATGTTATTAATATTATTTGACCAAGCAAGAAAATTCAGAATTATACAAGCAGCTCACTTTTTACTTCTGTCAGCATCGCTGTAGAATATGGCTCCATTTTAATGAAAACAACAAACAAGCTTATATTTAAAAAATAATCTGAAGGAAAACACACCAAAAGTTAAAAGAAGGCATTTCTGGGGAGTAAATTTTGGGTGATTTTTAACTTTCTTTGCTGTCTATCTGCTGTCCTAGAATTGCTACAATAATTCTACAAAAATTCTAAGATCTCAGTTAAATGAATTATACATAACCTTGAGCCTCGATGATTATCTGAGGCTGGGGACCAGGAATTTCAGGGGCAAGCTGGGGTGAGTTGAGGAGGCCTGTGGCTGGGGCAGATGGGGGACATGTCCAGAGGTGGCAGGTCCCTAAACTCACCTTGCAGCAAGGGGACGTCAGGGTCCCGGAGGAGCTGCCAGAACTCACGTTCCCCAACTTTCTTCCCCATCACCAAGGTCAGGTAGGGACCTGACAAGGAGGCCTGGGTTCCATACCTACCAAAAGGAAGGCAAAGAGGGAGAAGAGGTGACTTCCGCTCCTGTGGACCCCAGGACAGGGTGGAGAGTGCCCACAAGAGCCCTGCCGTCCCCCTCAGGGCCAGCACTCGGCAAACCTGCCTCCATCCCTGTGGGTCTTCCCTCCACCCCTCCTCTCCAGCCCCGCTGACACTGTCCACTCAGGGGACTCATCCCCTCTGTACTGGCCACGACCACGGCCTGCAGGAAGGGACACACAGTACATGATCCCCTCAGCTGTAGACCCCTCTCTGAGGGCTGACATCATAGGGGGTGAAAATCAGAAGCAGCTGGCTTCGCCTAGAAGATCCTGTGTCCCATGGGAGAGGGTGTGGCCCAGGCAGAGAGACGCAGGAACATGCCAGGGAGGGACCCAGATACCTGGTGGTGGGCCTGGGTCTCCGGTTCAGGAAGATTCTATGACTTGGTGACCTAATTCTGTGAATTAATTCTATGACTTCACTTCTCGTGGCTGGGTTGCTTTTCTCTTTGATTCTACCTTTGCCCCCTGTTACTCGAGAGGTCTGGAGTTAGAATGGGGCCTGGCAGCGAGGAGGCTCCTCACTCACACCCCCACCCCTGACTCCAAGTGCCACTGCCAGAGGGATCCTCTTGAAACTCTGTGGGTCATGTCCTTCCCCCTTGCAAAAGGCTTAGCAGTGGTTGAGGGAGAATTTTTGTAATTTTAAGAACAGGAAAGAAAAAAGAAAAGAAACACAAGCCCACTCATGGTGACTCAGTCAAAGCGAAAGCATTATTTTAGAGAACACAGGGAGTGACCCCTTTCCCCAGCCATGTCTACTCTTTGGGGCTGCTGGGGCCCTTCTCGGTGCACATGTCCCTCTCTGGCCTCCCTTCCAGCCTTCTGGCCCCCTTCTCCTCTCCTGCTCTACCTCCGTCTCCCCCACTCCCTCTCCCCCCTCCCCTCCCCTTCCTGATCTAGCTTTCTCTAGGGCTGATTCTATGGTGTGTATTCGGCTTTTTGCATTCCTGTGCTGGAACATGACCTTCATAACTGACCCCTGAACCCAATTCAGGCACCCACCCCCACTAACGAGAGAATTATTCTTCAGGCTGGTGTCCCTGGCGGCTTCTCTGAGGTTCTGGAGTTCTGAATGAAAATGGTAGGCTCCATTTTTTTCATGTTGATGACAATATCCAAACACGAAAGCCAGCAGGCTCCAGACAGGCCCGCCAAAGGGTTCCTCTGGGACCGTGTGCCCCTAGCAGCACCACCCAGATGCCAGGAAGAGGGGCCCGGGGGGGGGGGTCTCCAGAGCCTTAGCTGCCTGTGCCATCAAGCTTGATGGTGGCTTAGATCCAGCCACGGGCAGTGCCACCTGCTTCTCAGCAGATAGTCCTTATTTGAATGCCACTGGTTTTAAGGTTTTCTTTGTATTTAGTTCACAAAGTTGTGAAGAACACATTTTAACTGTCCAGAGCTAGAAAGAGAAAGGCCTTGTAGTAGTAAACATGTTGTCAGTGCCCACCTAACTCACAGAGCAGAAATGACTCAACCTGGAGTCTGGGGAACATTGTCCTTTTTAGGGGCCTTTGCATCTCTCTGGCCTGACATTCCCCAGCTCAGATGACCCCTGACGTCAGTGTTTCCCACCCACCCTGCCCCCAGTTGAAGGATGCTGTTCTTTGGGAATGCCAGTTGGGGAATAGAAACTGGGACCCTCTCAAATTGAGGCATCTCTTTCTATAAGAGCATCCCAGGGCCTGGGTGTCTTAGTGGAAAGCACTCAACTTCTCTGGGGTTTACTCCCCTTTGGTACAAAGAGAATCACCTCCATCTTTCCTGTCTTATTTAGGCACGGACAGCCCTGGCATAGGGCAGTGCTTTGGAAATGCTAATTCTCAAACTTGTCAAATCTCAGGAGGAGAAGCAAGTTGAAATATGTCCAACCTCCATATGCTACCCAGGGCTCGCCCTTGGTAATTCATCACAGGGATTAGGCCAAGACCATTTGATAATAAAACTTCTTATCCTTCGGAAAGCTAGGTTATACTGAGCGCTTACTCCATGCTGGACCTGGCACATATAAAAGGCCTGTGTCAGATCCTCGTAGGCACTCATTCCCAGGCCTCTGGCATCCTCGCTGATTTGTGGGTAAGTAAGTGGCTCTGGGCCCTGTAGTTCCAAGTGATGGAGCTGGGATTCCAAGGTGGGGGTCTGGCGTGCCACCCATGGCCCCCTGTATCTGCTATAGAGTCGGGATAGAAAAGCAGAGCCTGGGCTGGTGCCTCTCTCTAGGGAACTCTCTCTTCCACCCCATGTTTCTTCTGTGACCCCACTGCAAGGAAGTGGGGCCAGGCAGGTGAGGGATGGGAGGTTGGGGGGTTCTCACGTGAATCCTCCAAGCTCCTGGGCCTTCTTCAGGACATCTTCCAGGGAGGACCCAGCAGGGACAGAGATGGAGTGTCTATACATCGGCAGGACGCTGGGGACACTCAGCACGACGCTGATGTCCTCTGGAAGTTGGGTCTGTGAAAGGGTCTCTGTAGCCGGTTCTAACATGACTGCACCAAGGAGAAAGGAAGGGGCAGTTGGTGAGAGGGCAGGGGGCCTGGGAGTTCGTCCTCCTTTTTAGTTGAGAGATGCTGTGACTCCTCGGGACCTCTCCTCCCCAGGATCCCAACTCAGTCAGTATCACTACCCCCTGCTCATCGAGACTTGGCTGCCATCTCAGCCCCGCGCCCCCCGCTGCCCAAGGTCAGGTCCCTAACTGATTTCTCTGCCTCTGGTACCTCTCCCACCTGTCTGCCACATAGCAGCCAGAGGGCTCTTTCTAGAATATGAATTTGTTAATATCACTCCTGTTACCTCTGGGGGTCGCCCTTCCTTTTCACTCTCCTGCTCATTCTCTCCACCACACTCTTTCCCAAGTGCCTTCTCCCAAATTCCAGTCTTTTACACTCCTTGCCTTTGTTCTTACTACCTCCTCTCTGCTCTGCCCTTTTTTCTCTCTCCACTGGCAGATCCCGCTCACCTGCTCAAGCCTCTCTCCCAGACGAAGCCCTGATTCTGCTGTTATCATCATAAATCAGAGCTAACCAAAATGTATTTCCCCCCATTCATTCACTCATTCATTCATTCAGACATTTTTATACTGGCCATCATACAAGGGGCTCGAGTTTCATGGTACACCCAGAGCTCTCCACTTGGTATCTCCCTCCCCACACCACAAGCTTCTAGAAACTGTGATCTTAGCCCCCAGTGCTGCTAGTGTATCATGCACACCCACAAACCCACGTTGAACAGCATAGCAGGGCTAAGCCAGCTCCCCTCCCTGGGCCATGCAGATGTCAATATACACCCTGCAGGTTGAAAAGATCTGTGCTTCCGTGAAAAGCCTGGTTACCTCTTGGTGCCAGGCAGTCTGGGGAGATGAGATCCACATAGCTCTTGTGGTTCAGGACAGGCAGCAGCTGGGAGATCATGAGAACATTCTTGAATGTCCCCTCCTGCAGGCTGGCCAACAGAGCAGCCCTCGCCTTGAGGCATGCTGTGCCCAGCTGGACCCCGGGCAATGGGGAGGTCATCAGAAACTGGTGACAGAGGAGAGATGGACAGTGGGTGAGTCAGCAACAGGGAGGCACTAGGTCTTCCAACCCGTGACCAGTCACTCCTCGCCAGCCACCAGGGTAGACTATGGCTCCAGGGTCTGTTTCCCACCTGCAGCGCCAGAGGGGTGCTGTAGATATTCCCAAAATAACCCTCTGGGGTCTGTGCCTTCAGGATCTTTTCTCTCACTGTCCTGATGGCCAGCAATATCCGGTTTCTCTGATCTGGGTTGAGATTGGAGCGCTCCAGACAGGTGAAGGCCAAGCCTGCCATGGCCATGGTGTCTGCAGGGGATAAGACATGTGGTTGTGGGACTCCCTGGTGGCGCAGTGGTTGAGCACTGGGCTGCAAAGCTGCCCTCAGCCTCTGCAGCACCAATTCGATCCCCGGCTACCAGCGAGGGTCCCACATGGCATGGCAGACCTCTCCTGCCGCGCCCACTGCTCCCCTCAGCAGTTTATTTCATTAGTCTGCCTGTTCTGTTCCCTGCTCTGGCTCTAGTGAATTCTCTCACCCTCCCACGCTTCTGACTGTACCCAGTGCTTGTATAAATAAATAAATAAATCTTTAAAAAAAAAAAAAAAAAAAAGACATGTGGTTGCCTGAGAGCCAAGCAGGGCCTGGGGACAGTGAGTTTGAAGGAGGGCTTAAAGAAGGGGGTGACATGCTCAGATCAGCATTTTAGAAAGCTTCTGCCAGCTAAGGGGACAACTCAGCCCAGCTTGCCCCGGACTCTCCTAGTTCAGGCGCTGGAAGTCCAAGGTCCGAGGAAATCCCCTTGGTTGTCCACAAACCAGGATGATGGACACCAAACCCCTGCCTACAACTAGGGTGTTAGAGGTTATGGAGAGAACTGGAGGAGGGAGGCCCAAGAGTACCTTGTTTTACACTTCCATCCCTGAACCTGCCTGCACTTTGCAATCACCAGGGAAGTTTTAAACAATGCAAAGCAAGATCTATCCCTGGTGGTCTGATTTAATAGACTCTGGGTTTTTAAAAAAATATGTATTTATTTACTTATACATACAAGAACTGGGGTGTAGGCCAGAGGTGGCGGGGGTGAGAGGATTCACCAAGACAGAGTGGGGCGCGGAACAGGCGACATCTACTGAAGTACACTGCTGAGGGGAGCAGTGGGCAACACAGGAGAGGTCTGCTGCACCATGTGGGTTGTTTCCTGGCTGGGGATTGAACTTGTGCTGCAGTGGCTGGTGACAGCTTCATAGTGCTGAAACTTAACCCCTTGCACCACCAGGGAGGCACTGACTCTGGGGTTTTTTAAAGCCCCTACCACCCAGTCCTGGCCCAAGGTGATTTACTATGCCCAGTGGTTTTTTTTTTTTTTTTTTTTTTTTTTTTTTTTTTACAAGTTTCTGAAGCAGAATAAGCTCCCTGCTGGCGGGCGTCCTCCGCCTTCTCCTCTCTGGACACCTCTCTCTGGGCCCAGATCGTCTCCATCCTACCCTGGCCTTTGAGTGCACATGCACTCACTCCCAGAATCCCGCAGCTAGAAGAGACCTTGAATTACAAGGATAAGAACAGGGCACTGGAGGCCCAAGGTCACATAGTGAGGAACCACATCTCAGGCTTCCCAGCTTATATGATAGTAAGATCACGGCCAGGTCTGCCTGCAGGCATGCACTGTGCCAAAATCTTTATTTGCAAGGCATCCTTGATCCAGACGTGACCTGGCCGTTATTTTACAGGAGAAGATGAACCAGAAGCTTGGCTGACTTGCCCAGGTGTCCTACAGCAACCTAGGAGAGCTGGGATCCAGATTGCAGCCTGGCTCCAGGAATGGTTCCCAGTCACTGCACCACATAAGCCCTCGCCTTTGGCTCCTAAAGGTGTGGATAAGGAGCATCCCAAGGAAAGGTAAGTACGAGGCCAAGGGCTAAGGTAAGAAGTTGGGCATAGGGGCCAGGGGCTGAAAGAACGCCTGCCCGACCGAGGTGGGGACAGGTGCACTCACCCACAGAGAGGTGACGCTGGTGGAGGAGTTGGTCGTGTTCAACAGCATGCAGGAGCCTGCCCACCACACTGTCATGGACCCGCTTCTGGTGGACACACAGGGCCAGGATGCCCAGGCCATACTTGTAGTAGCTGGTGTGGGGGTGACCCTTGTGATTGTGGCCTGGGAGGGAGGAAATCGTGGGGCAGGGGTGTCACAAAGGGCCGGAGGTGTTGTCTCTCTGCCCCACCCAGCAATGAACCCCGCCATTGCACAGAAACCCATTGGCTGTACTGCCTGACACCCTGTTTTGGGTTGTGTTTTTCTTCATTTCTTCAACATACATTGTAAGCCCCACTAGGTAGTATGTGCAGGCGCTGTGTCAGAGGGAGGAATACAGTGAGTACAGGCTGGACTCCACAGCAGAGCCTCTGACAATAGAACAAATCATGCACGTGATGGAAGGAGTCTTGGAGTAGGGGGGAAGTAAGGGCAGGATTCTCTAAGGAAGTAGTGATGGGGAGGTGGGGTGGCACAGGTGGGGTGGGCCAGGTAGGGTGGCACAGGCAGTGGGCGGCTAAAGGTAGAGCAGGAGGGAGAGAAGGGGAAGAAAACCTTCTAGACAAAGGGGACATATATGAAGACCCTGGCTTGCAAGCTGGGAGAAGGCCAGTCTGGCCAGTGCCCATGAAAGGCAGGTAAGGCAGTAAGCTAGAGAGTGGACAAGCGGAACCTGGAGATAGCTTGTGCCCAGGACTGTGAACCCAGCAGTGAGCAGCTCCTGCAGGTATAGGCAATGCTAACAAGATCAGATTTCTACTTAAAATGCTCATTCTGGTTGTCCCCTGCTAGGTCTTATAGGACGAAAGTTAGCAGAGATAGAGTTAGGAGTGTGTAGGAAGGAGGCCAGGTAGTTGTCCTGCAGGGGGATAGTCAGGTCCAGCTTGGGGGCTGAGCAGCAGGACTTTGTGCATGTGGGTTGCAGGAAAGGTTTCATCAAGGATGGCTGCTGAGGCAGGCCTGAGCCTTTCAGTGGACAGTGAGGCAAATAGGATGGAGATGCCTACAGAGAAATCCCCAAGCCCTGGCACAGATGCTTCAGCAGTGAACACTGTGTGCTGAGCCCTCCCAGCTACTCCCACCTCAGCAGGCTGTGTCCTCTCACCAATGGCCCTTTTCTCTTCCTCCAGGAACCGCTTGAGCTGTGAGACCAGCTTATCCCCCTTGTGGCCCCCAACAAACTCGCAGTTGGCCCTAAGAGCGAGCAGGTAGAGGGCCAGCTGGCCCATGGAGGGTTTGTCGTCATCATCACTAGACCTAGGGTGAGACCAGGGAGCAACATGAGAAAGTGCTTTGCTGGTAAAGCTGGCTTGGGGTCCCCTAAAAGTCACAAAGTGGGAAAAATTCTAGCAGCTGGGACCTTTGCTAGAACTGCCAAAAGCAGAGATAGAGAGCTAGGTAAGCTGTGAGGTGCACACCATGCATTTTTTATAAAGATGAAAAGTTAAACTCAAGGATAAACTCTGTGGGCTCAAGCATCCAAGTAATCTGGGCCTGCCCCAACATTCTGTCCACACTTTGTCCACATACTGTCCCTTTTCTTTCCTCTTCCTCTCCTGAGAAGGAAGCCCCTGACTAGTCCACTTCCCCCTAGCCACCAGAGTAGACCATGATGGCTAATTCCCTGGGTGGGAATCCAAGCAGGAGATGCTTCATGGCTGCTCCTGATTCTTCATCCCTCATTCAGACTCCCATGCTGGACCTCAGAACAGTCCTACCTTCAAGCTCCCTGGAACGGAAGCACTGAAAGAGTCAGATGCTGCTTTTGGGCTCGGTAGGATGAGTAGTGTCTGCTTCAGGCATAGGAGGAGAGCAAAGAGCATGAGATGCTTCTGGGTTCAGCATGAAGAGTGTAGTCATGGATTTGTCATGTCTGTCTCAGGTATATAGGTTGGTGCAATAGCAGCACAAGGGCCCTGTATTGGCATCTGCCATCTAATCAAACCACACTCTTCTTTGTACAGATGGAGAAAGACCCAGACTTGCATAAGGCCTCCCAACAAAACAGTGACAGACCCAAACCAGAATGTAGCTCTCCTGTCTCTTAGGATGTAAGCAGACCATGGGAAAAGGAGAAGAGAAGATGCAGCCATACCTCAGGAGGCTTTGTTGGTAATTGAACTTGAGGCTGTGCAGGTAGAGGGCTTCCTTGTCCCCAGCCTGCAGGCTGGACAGGCGCAGGCCCACGTAGAGACTGGGGTTCAGATACTCCAGGGAGAGCAGGTCCATCCAGGGCAAGACGCGCTGGCCCAGTCTTTCTACTATCTTGCTGTCTACCTCTGGTATTTCTTAGGAAAGAGAACAGGGCAAGTGAGGTCTCAGGAACAAGCCACCAGCAAGGAACTACCTTTACCTTACCTTGTATGAAATCTGGCCATAATGAAAGGCAGTAGGGGGTGAGTTGGAGGGCAAGGAACATTATTCTGAGAGAGCGACTGGAGTGGGCAAGGGAGAAGTGGCAGGCCCAGGGCAGAGGAAGCTGGTGCCAGCCAACCACTCTGCTATCAGGAGTGAGAGACCAGATGCCAAGCTACATGGTGTGCCCAGGCACCATGCCTGCTGTGATGAAGTGCTGTTGTCATCATTGTGCATAAAAGAGGAAACAGAAGTTCAAAGTTGTACGGGTCTTCCAATAGGCTGCAGAGCCTAAGACACCTGTCTGCAAAGCCCCTGCTCTCTGGCCTCTGCTCCCACTTACAAACGCTTCAATCCACACGGATAACATATTCCACATGCAGTGTCAGAGACACTGCACACTGCCCACTGGCTGGCTGATGAGGTTCGTGTGTGCAGACCTCAAAATAATGCTTGCCTGGACACCTCTGTTTGGGTGCCACCCCTAAGAGTTGAACTGTTAGAGCCATCGTGGGGTTGACTTGAACCTGTATAACCAAAACTCCAAGTGGCCTCAAAGGTATTTCCCAGCTCCAGTGGATTGTGCCTCCCTGAAGGCACTTTGGACTTTTCCCCATTTACTGCCTCCCAGGGGCCCCAGAGCAGCAGCTGCCTCCACTGTGCCTTAAGCTAGGATGTGGGCAGCGACCCCTCCCAGGGGACAGTGGGCAGAGGGCATGGCCTGCCTCTTGGGCCTCCTGGCACAAAACCCAAGGTTCCACTCACATGGCCCCATCCCCCCCAGTTTGGGTCCTACATCATATGCCTGTCTCCCCCAAGTCAGATTCTGTGGCTACGAGAGATGGGGTGTGTAGAAGAGCAGGTGCTTTCCTTTTCTGTCTCTTTCTCCAGTTTCTACATCTCTCAGCCTGTCTTTCTGGTCATCTGAACCCCCCTCCTCTTGCCCCTCCCTTTTCTTAAACTTGTGAGGAGCCCCATGTGCCCCCGGGCCCTGACCTCCACCGCAGTGAGTCAGCCCTGGGCTTACAAGTGATAAGAGGAACTGGACTGTAAAGAGAGATTGATGACCACAATCTAGCCCCAGAAGGAAGGAGCCAGGCAGATTCACCCAGGGTAATAAAAGAGGCCTGGGACATGCCACCCCTCCACCCCTACCCTGGGAGTGCTAGCTCCCGGGAACTTGGATTCTGCCAACCAAGGCTGACTGGTGTCCACACTGGGAAGCCCAGGAGCCCACCTGGCACAGGCATGGATGCAGCTGCCTTGTCAATTTCACAGCCACACAAAACTGTAAACTGGTCCAGTGGCCTGTGGGATCCTCACTCACCACAGGAAGGCAGGGAGCATTTGACAGGTGAGGGAATGAGGCCGAAACTAAATATCTCAGCAGCAATGGCTATCCCCCCAAACCCAGCCCCGGATTCTCCCCCACGGGAAGGGAACTCTTGTCAGGTCAGGCGGATGGACCAACTGTCAAGAGTCACACCGGGTGAAGATGAGGATGGGGCCCAGGTCTCCTCTGGGCGCTGTTTGGACAAGAACCAAGAGCCCAGGGCTTAGGGCCTGGCTGGACTTGTGTGACAAAGGCCAGAGTCTCTGGTCCCCAGGAAAGGCCCTGGCCTGGAGTTCAAAGAATTACTTTGGGCAAAGCCCAAGAGAGCTGGAACATCTGGAATCTGAAGAGGGAGAAGAGAGACCAGAGGCCCCCAAGTCCTGCAGCTTCTCTTTCCTTCTACCTGTGTGCTCAGACTCACAAGCAGATCCCGAGAGGCCTTTGGGGCCCCAGCCTTGGGACACAGAGCTCAAGCAACCAGGCCCCTGGGTGTGGGTGTAACCGAAAGATCTCACCACCACCAGACCAGCCGGCACCCCTCTGGGACTCACTGTCAGGGTCTCCCGTTCACTTCCTTCGACCTGGGTGCTGGTCCCCACTCTTTCCCTTGCCAGCTCCTTTTCTTCCCTTGAGTCTCAGTTCCTTTGTTGCTTCCTGGTCCTTAGAAAACTTCTCCTGACCTCTCTTCCGAACCCCTGGTCCCTGGCCTGCTCCCCTCGCGCTGACTGGCTTCCTTTGGCACCACCTGCCCCCTACCCGCAGCACCCATTTGCCTCTTGACTCCTTTGGTTGGTCCCCTTCACTAGAATGGAGGCTCCAGGGCAGCAGGGACAGGCTGTCTTGCTCTGTCTTTCCCCCCAAGCCCAACACAACCCCTGGCACAGAGGAGGCTCAATCAATGCACCTTGAATAAATGAATAAACAAGTGACCGAAATAATAGAGATGGTCTTATCTGGTGAGGGGGCAGACATACGATTAATCTCAATACAAAATGCCAGAGATGGTTCAGCTAAACCCAAACTGCCGTGGGAGCTCAAAGGGAAGATAAGTTCCTACCACCACTACCCACCACCATGACGTTGGAGCCTCAGTTTCCCCAGCTATGTAAAGAGGGGCTTGGGCAAGATGGCACCCCCTCCAAAGGACCCAGGAGGAAAGATATGGTTACTCACCACAGATGTCAGCGAGAGCCCCCAGGCCCCCCAGCAGGAGGAGGAGGGCCCTAAAGCACCCCATTGCAGGAGCAGGGGCTGAGCGGCAGGCAGGAAGTAGGACAGACTCCTGGAGCTGGCCTGCGGACTGTCCTGACCACAGCTGGCCACGCTCCAAAAGAGGCGTCTTCCTGTCACTGATTAATCCCTCCACGCCCGACAGCAGGCTGCCAAGTCAGCAGAGAAAGGGGAAAAGGTTTGTAGCCGAGGGGAAAAGAAGGCCAAAGAACAGGGGAGGGAAGGGCTGTCCCCGAGGTAGGTGCAAGGGGAGAGGAGGGCCAGTGGGATGGTGTGAGACACCTGGAGGCAACCACATTTGGGGTCCCCACTGCCTAGAGTGCCCTGGGTCAGCACACAAGTCCCAACATCTGATCTACCCAAATCTGTCCCGACATCTGTTCTGTGTCCCCCAACTGTCCCAGCAGTGGACAGGTCGCATTGAGGCGCCTACCTGGTACCCCTCACAAAAGAAGCCCCTGGAAACACCCACTTTGGGCTGGACAGGGAGCAGAATGGGGGTAGGAGGGTCACATGAGCGAGACTGCTGGGAGTCAGCTGATCTCTGCACACACTCCCAAGAGGCGGGGGCTGGCCGGGCCCAGATCAGACAGGCCAGTTTTTACAATCACCGGAAAGCTGGGAGCCTCCGGGAGACAAAGCCAAACAAAATAAGATAAGGGGCGGGATTTAATCTTTTGAGACACAGACACTGGTAGCAGGGCTACTTGTCAGAACCTTAAGGAAAGTAAACTTAGAAAATCTCTGCAAAAAGGAGAGAGAAAAAGGGTTCCTCATGCTCAGCTCCTCAGGAGGATCAGTGTACAGGCATTCACTCTGGCAGAGCTGTGTGCCCCTGGCTGGTCATTTAACCCCTCTCAGTTGGAAATAGTTTTCTCCTGTGTGAGACGAGAGAACCAGTCAAGATCATTGTAGTTAAACTGCCTTCCAGCTCAGCTTGTAAAGAGGTTATGCCCTTAATCATTTCCAAATGTGATTTTGATTGTAATCATTTTATGGCACATTGCCAAAGTTCATTGTTCAAGATAATCTAGTTTTGTGTCTGACTTAAGGCAAGTCAAACTCTTGACATAAATAAGAAGATGTCTGTTCACTGACATACTTTACAGACTTAAAATTAGACTGTCTGGTGGAGGCAGGTTGGGTAAGTGAGGTTCTGGGGAAGGAGGGAGACTAGCTGGAGGCACAATTTCTGTAGATCTTTGGGTTCGAACCTCCAGGGGACCTTGTGATGTATATGTAGTGGAGACAACTTGGTCTGGGATTGGATGGCCTCAGTCCCTCCACCCCGACTGCCAACTCCCTGCCAGTGGTAAGTGGCAGGGCTTTCAGTTGCTGACACCTCCAGGAGAGCATCCTGGAGGAGGCATCCTTGCTAGAGCAGTTGCCATCTCCTGGCAGGGAGCAGGTGCATTAGAAGCACAGTGGCTGGCTGTGACCTTGGTCACAAAAAGTGAAAAAAAAAAAAAAAAAAAAAAAAAAAAGGAAGAAAAAAAAGAAAGAAAGAAAGAAAAAGATGACCAAATCGGTTGGTTCAGGATTTCTATTTGGGGGCCTATTGCTGAGAAATAAAAATTAACTTGGAATGAGAAAGTACAAGTCTTCCTGTGCGTACAAGGACAGGTGCACATAAAGCCAGCCACAACATGAATGGGGAAGATTATATTTCCCAGGGTCACCGTGTAGCTGTAAAATGTCCTAATGACTTGTTCTTTGAGTGACTGTGACATTTTTACTGGTAGTTCTTTTTCCCTAAAATCACAAGCTATCAGAAATGTGCCACTGAAATCATGCTAGTAAGAATGAAGCATGCCAGGAGGAGCTAAGTCACTTTGACACAGAGAAGCAGCCTCAGAGGAGTTGCTGGACACAACATTCTATGCCTATACTAATGTTTGCAAGGAGCAGGGACGTTGTCCATTTTGCTGACTAGACCAGAGTCAGCTCTTCTCCCCCAGTCCTGCCACTGAGCCTAACATTGTATTGCGTCTATTAAAACACTACTTGGCTTGCTTTTTACCTAACTCCGCCCCTCCCTCCCCAAAAAAGGGTTTATAAATTTTTGTTTGTGTGGGAGGTCTCCCTCATGGCAATGGAACAACAAAGTTGACACTTTGTCAGACTAAGGGTTTGTTTCTGGTGGTGTTAAGCTCACTGAGCTAGGATACAGTCTATGAAAGAATCCAAAAGAGAAAAGTAAAATTGTATGCAAAGTGGATAGCTTGCAAAGAATGGCTATAACAAAGGGAATTTTACAGGGACTACACCTGAGAGGAGAAAGCATACATTGTACAAAAATGAAGAATGATGTCAAATATATATAAATAAAATAAAAAAACAAATATACATTTGTATGATTAAATATGGAATGTCCATTTTATTATTTTGTAATGTAAATATATAAAACCCTTATTTTAGATCCCATTTAATGGAGAAAGTGGTTCATAATTAATCTTCATGTGAAAAATCACACAAGTAGCACATATTGATGGCACACAAATTACAAAATACAAGTTTGTTAAGGAAGAAGAAAGTAACATACTGAATAGTTTTGCCACCCTCAAAAGCCCCTTGTACTTCACCTCTTCTCTCTACCACCGAATCCTTGGAACCATTATCTTTTAACTGCCACTATAATTTTCCTTTTCCAGAATGTCATTAAAAATTGAAATATTACGATTTTGAAATCTCCACCTTCTTCCTCCACCCACCCCCCCCTCAAAAAAAAGCTTTTACAGATTGGTTTCTTTCACTTATCAATGTATGTTTAAGACTATGTTAAGTGTTGCTGCAAATTGCATAAGTTTATCTTTTTTGATTGCTGAGTCTTCTTGATCCAGTCATCTATTTTTGGGCATTTGGGCTGTTTCCATAGCTTAGCTATTGTAAATAGTGCTGCTATAAACATAGGGGTGCAGGTGCCCTTTTGAATTAATGTTTCTGTGTCCTTTGGGTAAATACCTAAGAGTGGAATTGCTGGATCATATGGAAGCTCCATCTTTAGCAGGTTGAGGAATCTTCACACAGCTTTCATAGCAGGAATTTAGAAAACCTAAATAAGGGATCAGGAAAGACTAATTATAATAAAGTAAAAATCAAAATCAACAAGCAACTATAAACCAGAGACACACTAGGGAGGGCGGGGGGAGGAGGGGGGATTAGGGTCAAACTAAGGGGGGTGGGAATTGTATGGGGGCTATAACCAAGATGAAAGTGCATACATTGTGCAAAAATAAAAAATGATGTAAAAAATCAGAAAAAAAAAAAAAAAAAAGACTATATAAGTGTCCTCTGGAGTCGCTATACATCTGTGAGGAAAAAAATCCACTTTTGCTCTATTTCATCACCCTAAGAGCAAAAGAACCAAAGGAAAAACCGAAGGCCTAAAGCCAACTGAGAGTAGACGCACTCAGCGCCCGGCGGCGCCTGCCTGCAGCGGTCTCCTCATTCCGGAAGCCAAGTTCTGACCCCGCCTAGCATCCGTTACCATGACAATGCGCCAGTCCACGCACTTTGAGAGCGTCTCCCCTCTGCATCCCAGAAGACACTGCGCTATCTCTGCCTTCCGCCCCTCTCCATCCCAAGGTGCAACGGAACGCATGACGTCAGACGTTCGTCGTGGGGATGATCATAGAGATGCCTGAACATACATGTTTTTTAAACAGACTGTGTGTAACAGTCTCACAGGACGGAAATCACTCTACAGGACGGTATTCGTGATTTTTCAGAGGAATTTAGTGGTAACTTTCGGGAGGAAAAACCCCATCTTCCCCTGAGGCACTCAGGCACCTCCTAGGACGCCCGCGCGGAGCGGCGGCGTGGGGGCCTCAGGGGTCCTCGGTCGGGCACGTGCGGGAGGAAGCGGCGCTGTGTGTCCGCGCGGCGCTGGTGGACCCTTCAACGTGGAGACATGGGGGGCCTGGAGAAAAAGAAGGTGAGCCGAAGACACTGTGGGCCTCGGGCCCGGGAAGTGGGGGGCAGGATCCCCGGAGCTTGGCTCCTCGTGGCTGCGGGGACGGCTGGGATCACCGCGGGAAGAGCTCGGAGGATGGGCTCGGGTAACAGTGAAATCGGGGCAGTTCCTTGGAGCGGGACTGCGAAACAGTTGAGGTTCCTAAGAACTGTTTACTGAAAGAGTGATGAACTTTTTGTAGAGTTCACTATTACTTCGGTTGAATCATCTCTAAAACACTTGTTATTCCCTCATCGGTTGAGCAAACCCCCTGTCTCGATGCTCGGGACGGATAGGTAAACAATCATGGGGTCCCTGTCTTCTCCGCATTCATTTCTTAGTGATGGAAGATGGATTAGTACTGAAATCAATAGCCAAATGAAGTTATCACAGATTGTTAAATGTGCCGTGAAGAAAGCTAAGGAGAAGTAAGGATAGGGGATGTAAAGGGTTACAAATGTTAGCGGGTGTTGCCTCATGTTTCTCTTAGCCATACATTTAAACTAAGATAAGAAAGATCGGAAGATCTTGGACAAGTTCTGGAACAGGCAAATGCTTAGTGAGCAAGTATGGCCGAGGAACGAAGTGCCAACACTCTTTGGTGGGAAAGGCTTTTTTGGTGCAAGGTCTCAGAAGGACGGATGGGAGGATCCAAAGGAAAAAAAGTCTTCTGGTGAGATTGGGGTTGGATAGTCACGCAAAGCCTGTCAGTCATTGTATTGAAGAAGGAGTAACATGTTCAGTTTTGAGGAGTTCTTCTTTTTTTTTTTTTTTTTTTTTTTTGAGGCATTCTTGTATGGAGAATCACCTTGGTTGCATGAAAAGATTGAGGGGAGGGGTGTGAGGAAAATAATAGCTACTTCAAGTGTTTCCTTAAGTATTAAAGTGTCTGCTGCGAACTAGGGACTACAGAGAAAGGGGACAGGAGATCTCTCCTTGTAGCACCAATGTTGATATGCAAACGAATCATGGTATTTTTTAAAAAGTGGTTTTCACAACCATCTTGACGCCCATGAATAACTGTGGGCAGAGCAGTCCTGGGCATTGTAGGATATTTAGCAGCAGCCCCAGCCTCTTTACCCATTAGCACTAACCAAAAATGCCTAATTCCTCACCCCTTCTGATACACACCCAAGGAATAAAATCACCCCAGTTGAAACCTTCTATCCCGCTGCATAAGCATGGTGACAGAGGTATGTGTGATGAAGACTCAACTTCCCAAGACAGTCTGAAACTCGTTTTTGTATATCCAGGACTTGGCTCGGGCCTGATCCCCAATAGTCAATAAATATGTGAAGGACAGAAGGAATAGCAGGTGTGTCTCATGACTGTGGGGTTATTAATAAACACACCTCTCAGGAGACTACAGGTCCATCTGTTTATATCTGACCCTGGCCATGGGACCCCTATTGTCTTTTTCCAGAGGAAGATCTCATTTGAAAAGGACAGGCTTGGTTGGCATTGCAGGGGGCTTGGTGCATTGCATTGATCTCTGTCAGGGGTACAGAAATGTGTGCGTGAGGTAGCAGCTTGATACCACAGACCCAGATGATTACACAGGACAGTATGC